TCAAAATAACATTATTATCACTTCAGCCAGAAGTGTTATTTAGTTCAAAAGCCACTCCTTGTAGGCTTTGGTTGTATATGTTTTATCTAGTGAATATATGAATTTGTTTAAATTATTGGAAAACTCTGAAAATTTGTGTAATATTGAGAGCTGTTCATGGAGATTGTGCATCGAAGAAAGTAGTATTTCTAGGGGAATCAAAAGTTTCAGGTAGGGGTGCGAAGACTGCAAAGGTGGTGTAAGACTAGGACAATCATCTATGAGGCAGTCAAAAGACCAGTCTTTTGAGAACCAAGAAAGATGTTTTTAGCAATGGAAACGTAGATGTATTATCATGCATGAGGAGTATTTTGTTGAAATATTTTCAGTCGGGTAGTTATAGACTTTATGTGTTTCATGAAGTCTGTCATGTTCATTTAATAGGAATTAGTTTGGATTTACTTTAAACTTCAGATGTACTTTTCTGATGATATGGAAACAGCATAAAACTGGTGCTCAGATATGATTGTTGCTTTACTGTAAAATAATCAACAGTAAGACATAGATCACTATGTGATTCTATAACTAACAATAATCGTCAAAATCCTGGACTAAATATGATAATTAATAATTCGTTTTAGAGTTTTGGTGTTTTATGATGATCACATTTGTTACGTCCTTGATCTGTCTACCCAATAATAAACAGAAAATTACTTGTCTCGATATTTGACACGATAGGTTGACTGGTTCAATATTGAGGCCAGAAACTAGTGAGTCCAAATTGAGACTAACAGTCTTGGGCAGAGATGAAAACTATTTGATCACCTGATTGGTTGACAGGCGAGAGAGAGAGATGAGTCAACCAGTAACACTAGTTGTCTGAGTCCTGATTTCCAATTCAGAATAATGTAAAAGGATATATGAATAAATAGATGATTGACACGACCACAACGTATAAACAATTAGAAAAATACAATTGTTCCCCAGATAAGCATTAGGGTAAGAAGATGAAGTACAAAAGGTTATGTTTAAATTACAATAACTTTGAAACAGAAAAGGATACGGTAGTGAACCATGCATCAAACGGAAGCTTACGGTTTATAAAAATAACCAGGGACAAAACTAAATGTTAGTATTTCACAAACTTTGAAATGAGATAATATTCCCGAAATTAGCTTCCGTTGTTCATCGTGACTTCTTCATTTCTATGTTCACATCAATATTGTATGGATGAAAATACGAATTATATATATATATATATATATATATATATATATATATCAGTAATAATAAAAGAATAATAATCAAGGACAACGGGATAATATCAGAAAACAATAATAAAACGACTCTGTTTTTTGACAAATACTTATCGAAGATAATAGCCAATTTTGAATAAAATCGTAATTCGAATTCACTTTTCGTGAATGTATACAAAAGAAACAGTACCTTAGTTAATTAAAGATCGTTGAAAGATATTAGGGCGGATCCCTAATCAGGTCAACTAAAGTGTTCTTATAAAATACATGAAGTGTTGATAGTTAGTTTGGAAAAATGGATAACTAGTTGCATGCAACTAAATTAGTATAGTTATTTTATAAACTCATTGTTAAACATTATAAATTATGTTTTATATAATTATACGTGTTATGATTACTTTGTGGGGGGGGGTGTTCAGTAGAATACGAAGGTGATGTTTCTTCCTTAATTACACATGTATTTGAGTTTCACGTCATGAACTGACTTTGATTAAAAAAGTCTTCCGAAGCCAGGAAAATAATTAATTGGATTTAGAAATTTAAACCACTAGAAGCCAACTCAACGCTTACTATGAAGCCTAATGGTCCCGGGTTCGATGCCTCGTAGTGAATTCCCGCTGATGAGTCTCATACGAAAGGGAAATAGCTGTGCAGTGATTCTTGACTTTTAATGGTTGTCTAATCAAAACCAATCCGTGATGTGAGATTCCAAATTTATCAGTCACTATAACACTGTATAATAGCGATCTATATTACGTAATACTACATATTTCGATAGTGTAATAAGAAGACGAAGATTATCAGAACTCTATGATATATATTTGAGCAATACATTTCTGATCACACATAATATACTTGTTAAGAACATTTATATATAAAAATAAAAGGTCAACTAGACTGGAAATGGGGGTAAGAATAGACAAAGATAATAATAATAAAAATAATGTGAAAACAACCTAAATTCATTTAATGTTGTTTGTTTGAAACCTAATCACTCTGGATAATAATAAGCTAATATTACCAGGGTAGGTTTAAGGTGAGAACAAACTGTTTTTGAATAGACAAAGGGGGTTTGAATTTTCGTATGGCTAAGGCTTCAATAAACCTTAGTATACGCCCTTTTACACTTTTATACAACACCACAAAAGCCAAGTTAAGATCAATCTTATGACCTGTTTCGATTATATGTTTAGCAATAGAGGATGATGGATGTTTATCCTCTACTCCTATCAGGTCGTTTGATTCTATTTGTTTCTGCAACATGTTCACCCACCCTAATATTCAGATCACGATTGCTCCTCCCTATTATGTGTGACCACATACATATTTAAATTGGTAAACAGTGGGATGTGACAATCGTTTTCATGTCTTTTAGGTTTTCAATGAAGCATGGACCTCGTTCTTTCTTTGATAATGATGGCTGATTTAAGCCTTTGTTTTAATAAAATGCTATTTGAATCAACTCTAAATGGAAAGGTGATGTAGACAGGCTTTTTTTCCACCAAGGCTACAGTAGATCTCATTGTGCCATGAACTTTCCATTTGTTGATAAATTTAAGTAGATAACCATTCCCCATTAATGTCTTGTTTAGCAATTTAACGTTATCATCAATAGCTTCGTTTGTGCAAATACGATGAAGCCTGTTAAATAGGCACCTTACTAAACCCCGTTTGTATTGCATAGGGGCAATAACTATAGTAGCTAAGGTATTGACCCATCCACGTCGGTTTTCGAAAAATGGATTGTTTGATTGATCCATTTTCTCGTCTGCTTAGAAGTATATCTAGGAAGGCAATAGTACTACATACTCTCATTTATAAGTAAACGGATGTGGAACTATGGAATTGTGTTTTAATTTAAAGACCATTGTTTACAAAAAGTCTATAATGTAAATAGATGGTAGAAAGATATTTCAGAACATGGATCGATGTTGTCTTATAATAGGTGAACTGATTTAATTCCCGTAATAAAAATTATTTTATGTGAAAATTTCGTTTGCAAATTTAATTCAGAATTCATTTTCACAGAAAAAAACACATTCAACTTGTTAAACGTGATAACTAATTTTTGGTTAACTAAAGAGAGACAGAGGGAACAATATAATTGACAATTTCATGAAAATAATCAATGTTTAAAAGACGTTAATATGTTAATTGAATAGAGACTGGTATTTTAAGAACGGTTTGGAATTGTGTTTCAAATATTAAACCATTAACTAATTAAAAATGTAGGCCTACCTAGGGTGTAATTCATACATAAGAAGTCTTAAAATTAACTAACGTACATAAAGAAATAGACCAATATATAACTAAGAAGGTCAGACTAAAGTGAATGGACGAGCAAATGTAGTATTATGATTCATAGGTTGAAAGAACATGTTGATTATCGATAAAACACAGTTGCTGATTTCGAGGAAAATGTAATAATAACGCACTTACAAGGAAAGGTACTGTTTTGGGAGATCATTATATTCAACTGTGATTAGATGTGTGCGTAAGGTTATTATATACAAATAACGTTAGGGCGATGTGCGTACGGATTAGATACCATATTTTACTGTATGAAGTATTACTTTTTCATATGGATGAATATTTAAAACATACCATTTTTTATTTATCCGCGGATGTTGGAAAAGCCTAAAGGACTGTAATACGACAAACATTCGTGTATCCTTGATAGACAAGCTCTAAAATCAATGTTCTGATATTTCTGGCAGGAAGCGTCCTTATTAGTTGCTTCTAGAATTACTCTTGGATGGTCAAAGTGACACTGACAACTGTCATTCAAACATTTGCTAGTAATACGGAAAAAATTTACAAAGGAACTAAGTACTGCTTCTTAGCATATAAATTCACAGGTAAAACACCGGGGTTAGAAGTGTATCCTGTGATCAGCAGTGACCAATTTCGTAAGTACAGGCATCAAAGTCAGTCGTTTATTTTACATAAGATAGCGGGAGCACAGTTTTAAGTTGTAAATGCAACAGAGCTAAGTGTGATACTACTCAACACACTAGATAAAAGCCTGATGCCAAAACAAAACTCCAATATACTCACCAATCAGAAATAACCACATGGCTAGTGAAAACTGACGGTGAATTCTGGATGCAGTGCTTGTACGTATGTACATCGGTTCGAGTTGCCACACCCCATTAGCAAAGAGAGATAAAATTGCAGAGCGAAATCAATGAATAGTAGAGGTAGTAAGAGTATCAGCGATAATAGGAAAGACTAGGCATCCAGTTCCCAGATTTTAGCTAAGATTTAAGTTAATTTAACTACTGAATACGAACCATCATTCGGAAAAGTCCCAGCAGTTAGTTCATTAAACCTTGCTGCTCTTCGCCACTTTATATCAATTCACAGATAATTTTTATTTAAACATTAAAAACACGAAGTTCAGCGACGGAATCTCTTTTCAACCAATTTATTATCAAACTTTACAATCGTATATGAAAATTTTTTGTTAAAGTACTAATTCCGTGAGGAAATGTGAACATGAATAACAAAGATGATATAATAGAAAGATTATAATACTAGATTACGTAATACGAGTAATAATAATATGACCTTTAGTTATCATAACAAAGTGTTATATCATATAAGAACTCTCGTCTAAATTAGAACGAATAGTTTCACAGTATTTGAGCGCCGAGTTGAAGTAAGACATTAAATAGGAATAATATATTTGCAAAATCTCAGCGAATGAATTTTTTAAATTAAATCCAACGTTTCGCCTGGCAATCTGGTCCAAGCTTTTTCAAGGAATTATAATCAAACATCAAAATTACCGTCTTGCTCCAAACACGATGAGGATAATTTTGATTATAATTCCTTGAAAAAGCTTGGACCAGATTGCCAGGCGAAACGTTGGATTTAATTTAAAAAATTCATTCGCTGAGATTTTACAAATATATTATTCCTATTTAAAGTGTTATATCAAATATAATTTTTTCACATATAATGAAAGTGTTATATCCCCTGGTGAATTATGAATGGTAACTCTAAGGACTATTTATCGACCAATGTAATATGCCTATTTCCTATTGTACAATTATTACGTAACTGAACTATTCATATTCGTATTTCTCTTATCATTTGCTTTATTTTGACCTTGAGTTATTATCATACGATTCTTGAGCTATACTCAGTTATTGATTACTTTGGTTTGTATAAAAACCCAGTGTGTTTGTAAATAATGATTCATACCACTGAGGCTGTTATTTGTGTTCTGCACTCAACTGGCTGGGCTAGGCAGATAGCAGGGCCGAATAGTACTCAAGACTGCTCGTACGATTTCAAGTATCATTTGCGTCTGATCAATAAAATCCACTACCTCTCTAATTGCACGTTCATATATATTACGAGTTCACACGATATAACACAAAGACATTTTATTTTCACTAAATCTATTGTTATTACTCGTATCACGTAATCTAGTATTACACTAATTCACCATTTAGGTCGCTTGGAGGTAGTGAGTAACTGACGTGTGGCTGAAGACCAGTTGAACTGGTCCCTAAAGTGTTTTGCCCATTCGTCCAAACACATGGATTGAATGTGAATAATAATCCTGATTTTTTCAGAGAGTTTCAATTACATCCGGATTTTTAATACCCATTTCTTTGATAAATCTGAACAGTTGTGACTGTCACCCATCGCTTCTGCCTTGCTTTCGCTTGCTACCACTGCTCATGATCACTGAGTAGTCTCTTTAGCAGCATATGTTTAAGATGCCTGCGCTCCTCATCGTGTTTGGAGCAAGACGGGATGAGTTTTTGAGTGCCGTCAGTTCTGTAAGCGTTGCTGATTTCCAGATTTTTCTTAACTTTTCGGTTTAAGTAGCTGGTAGATATCACTGCTGTTTCCACAGCTTTTTGGATATCATACCAAGCTACCTCAGAATGGATATCACTTGTATGGTTGACTAACTCATTCTAAGTTGTTTCATTAAGTTGGAATTTAAATAATTCACTTGCTGCGGTTCTTTCTATGTCCAGCAAGATACATGCTTGTACTAAAGCATGATCCGGGTCCAAACATGTACTCTAGAATGAGCACCAGTCTTCTGCCGAACCTCTCCAAAGTTGGCTGATGACAATGTGGTCTATTTAAGTCCATCGACTGCGAAGATAACCATGTCAGACGATGTTTCTCCTTATGTTTAAGGTTGGTATTTGGCAGAAATAGACTGTTATCTGAGCAAAATTGCAACAGACATTCGTCATTATCTGTTCGTTTTGGTTTAATCTACCTACTTGAACATTAAAATCGCCCACCATTATTACTACATCAGAGCATTTAACATTTTGGAGGTTGAATAGTTTCGTATAAAACTCATTTTCAACTTGATCTGAGCTAAAATCAGTGAGAGCGTAGGTAAAGACAACGGCGTGCGTCTCTCGCTTTTCAAGTTCTTACTGTCCCGTCCAATCACACTGCACACAAGCGACTGTCTATTAGGATCCAGGCTAACAGAGCCTGTTCTACTTTTGAGCTTAATACTATACCTACTTATGGTATTTGAATGAACCAATGATTCTTTTGTATTGCTGACTGTTTTGATTTTGAATTCCAAATACAGTACGTTCGTTCGTGCTCATCTAATATTTCTTGATTAAATTGTGTTATTGCTGTGATTACTAGTTTATACTACAATTCAAATACTCTTAAACATCACACTACTTCGGCGAAGTCACTGGAAGTAGCGGTGGAGTCACCAGACACGCGAAGGTAAATCGTGTCGGTCCCTCATATTGACAAGGTAAGGTTAGATGAATGACTGCGTATGGATCCTGTGTGGGTATTTCAGATATGCTGGAATAATAACTGGAATCAGGATATATCGATTACATTACCACCATAAGGCACAAAATAAAAAAACATTAGGGATTTATCCAAGTAGTAATTTGAATGTTTGTTTAAAACACTTGGTAATAAAAGTAGCCAAGAGAATAATAATTTTAATGTTAACAATATTTCATGTTTGCTTTCTAAATAACAATACAAGTTTTGTATCAATTGAACAAATGTTGTCACATTGTGAGTGCAGTTAAAAGTCTAGACTATGCAGAAATGAAAGAAGGGAGTGTTGTTGTTGCTGCGAAGTAGACCTATAGAAATGCAATAATCAGATTAGCATTTACGGAGCAGAAAAATAATACAACAACAAACTAATACAACGAAGTAACATCATTCGTCCCAGCAACAATGATAACAATGACAAATTGAAAAAGAAATGAACAGATCCGTACATGATACAATATTCATGAATACATTATGAATTAACAGTGACACTATTGGTTATCATACCACTGTATTTTTCGTTTTTCTTTCTAGGACTTTTTGAGAGCACATACATACATTGTTCGTCATTGTTACCTCCTTGTGTGTTATTAATCATGAGGATATAGAATATGGCAGTCGAAATAGAAAATGACGTAAAGAAACAAAACAACACGCGATTGTCAAAAGAAGTACAAACAATGAACAAAGTATGTAGGAATGAAACACAAAATAACAAATTTGAAAAAGAAGCTGATCACAATGCGTGTGCGTTGTTGCATTTGCACACATAATACGAGAAATGGAGGCTCCTATATCCTATATCATTTATTAGTATGTATGATTATGTAAAGGAAAGTAAAAATAAACTTGCAATACTGAGTATGATTATTAAAAAATCTATACGTAATCATCAATACAAACTAAGCAGACAAAGACGAACATACAGTTCACTGTTGTTCTCAACACTATTACTTCTATTACTGATATCGTTTTACAAGCAGTATGTATTTCAGTAGTATTTAAGAAACACACATTACTGATCCTACTATGCATTGGAACAAAACAAAACAAAATAAGTACACTGGGTAAACTACTGAAATTGTGGAATTCTATTATTAGAAAACATTAAGAAGTAGGAGGGGAGTGAAATAAGTAAATAATGAGTAAAGTGAAAAAAAACCCAATGTCACTAGTTGATATGTTTGTTCGAATACAATTTATAATTGAATAAAGGTTTACAACATACACATATATACATAAAATGTACTGTAGAAAACATGTAAATGCGATAGACTTTTGCGTACTTCCTCCATATATCTTCTTGTATATTAAGATTTCTTTTGTTGAATCGAGTAATTCGAACAGATATTGCATTTAGCTACCAAACAATAGAGTATAACCGGATACATGTGTCTAAAATAACATAAATAAAAAGAAAAAATACAATGGAAATTGTTTAAAAGCTGTAAGTTACAAGTCAGAAATCAGTTGTTATTGGCAACGGTTGAAATGATAAGATGATTTACAATTTAAAGACTAATAACTAACTAATCAGTAAAAGAAGTTATAATAAAAAAAGGTTTAATTGGACTCGGTATATTTGTTGATAGATCAGTGCACGAGACTGTAACTAACAGATTGGGAATAAGCTAGGAATGGTAAATCGCATAACAGGAACCGATTGGTTGGCGGCCTATGCTTCATTAGGAGTAACAGGCGTAAGTAAGTAAGTAATAGTTATCCAATAGGAATATATGTAATAATGGTCCATAAATAATTCTTGACACTTACCATTGATTTGTTCTTTGTTCGGATGTAATAACAATAATAATGATAATAATACGATTTCACATATTTTTCGACTGTTGTCATTTGAAGAAATATAAAGTTAAACAGTAATCGATAGCTGTTATAACACAATATTATATAACTTCAACATAGTAGGAATCACATAACAAGGTAGAGATGATCAGATGACAATTAAGTGAGCTCTTAGGTAATCTGTTTTTTCCAAGTCATTCAATCATAATGATAATCATATTATCCTTTAGACACTCGTTGATTTGAAATTCACATTTTGAATTTTAGTTTCTGTCTGCTACCGATAAATTGAATGTTTCATTGTGGATCATTTCACTCATAAAGTAAAAAGTTATGAGTATATTTTCTCTATTTTTAATGTAAAATTTGAAACATTCAAATGGATGTCTGTATTGTAATTAATAAACCTGATAAGTATATGCTATTATACTATCATCTCATAATTATTTACGTTTGAACATCTTATTTCGTCGTTTGTTGATTAGTGCCTTAACTCCAATCATTTCATTGCTTAAAACGATGAAGAAAAGTGATTGATTGAAGTGATACGTCATCACCGTTGGATGCCCGCTCAGGGGTCTAGAGGTTAAGCGTTCGCGCGCGAGACCTGTGTTCGAGTCCCGTGTGCGGGATCGTGGATGCGCACTGCTGAGGAGTCCCATACTATGACGAAACGACCGTCCAGTGCTTCCAAGTGGTCTAGCTTAGATAGGTTGGTGAATTTAACTGTGAAAATACTATAATCTTCAAAAATCTCCATGCTGATAAAAAATTAATTATCAGGTTCGTATGATAGAAAGGGGGTTAAAAATTAAACCTGATAGATAAGATATAGTATTTCACTTCATTGGAGGCAATTTAACAATACTCAGTATATATATATATTTCACAAAGCATACAAAACCGACTAATTCATCATGCATATGTATAATATTACTCAAAATAGAAGACTTACACAACTTTGTAAACAGAAGTTACGTTGAATTGCATAACATTATCATTCTTTTTCAATATAGACAATAATAATAATAACATAGCAAGCGGCAGACTGTATACCATTTTTAAGTACACTCAATTATAATCACCGGAAATATTTAGCACCTGAAACACAAATAAATTTTTCTAAAAATATTTCAGAATCTAACACAGCGATATGAGCAGCACGACCAATTAGTGTATTTGCTGAATTTGTTAAATTATAATGTACATCATAACGCACTACAGTGGTACGGGTTGATTGAATGAAACGTTGTAATAAATTTGTAACCATTTCCATATAAATAATCCCTGTCATATTCAAGAATAAAATATGTAAGAAATATTACTGAACTATTGGTATAAAATACTGTAAAATGTTAGAATTTGATAAAATCAAACGAAAAAGTATTAGACAATAACAATTAGCATGGGAATTTGTGGAGATCATAGTCTTTTCACAGTTAAATCCACCAACCGACCTAAGCTAGACCAACTGGAAGCACTGGACGGCCGTTTGGTATTAGTATGGGACTCCTCAAAGGAAGTCCACTTATATTTGAAGTAAGAGCTGATGATGTTCACTGGAATGGCAATAAAAGCTACTCAATCAAATCATATGGCTCAGAGAACTTAACCGCAACAGAGGAATCTAACTGAGCAGCAAACCTTATCCACCACACTCAAGTTCAGTTAGAGTCGATTCAATAATGATGAAAAAAGTAACAATGATAATAATAAGTTTATGTTAATTTACATCGATATCTGGATGTGAATACAGAAATGACAACAAATAACTTGTATTTCGAATATTTACAATATGAATACTAGTTCTAATTATTTGTGTGTGTTGAAATTCACCAAGGTCAAGTTGAAAAACTACATTTTCCACAGCAAATACAATTTCATTAAGTTAACTTTATATGTTATCTTTTTTACAGATAAAGGTAAGTAATTAATAATTTGACAATACAAATACTAAATCATATAGTTTCACTTGGAAGTTAAATAGTAACTAGTCAAAAATGTTGAATATATACATGATGATGAGGACTTGAATTTTACAGAGACACAAACCCCCTTAAGATTATCCATACACTCTGCTGACGAGTACCAACTAGTACAAGGAACAAGTGTTGGGTTTTTAGCTGATTGCCTCCAACCAGTTAACATTGTAAGGAAAGTCTCGTGAAAGACAATTATGAGTAAGTTAATTAAAGCTGAGGATTTCTACACTTCCCATCATACGGGTAGATATCACATGGAAGTTATGGTTAATTAATAGTGTTTATAAAAGAGTAATAGATTAATTTTAGTAAGAAAGCATAATGAAATATCAATTTAACTAACAGTCATGTAAATGCAACTCTAGCGAATCATCATCAAAGCCAGAAAATTGGACTGAAAGTAGGCCTTACCAATGGATGTCACACTAACCTGGAGACTCAGATACAAATCTTTCTGTTTACTCCCTCCCAAAATCTACTGACTCAAAGTTCATTCATTCAAAATCCAGCTATAAACAAATATTAATGTTGAATTATGATTCTTAGTGTTTAACAATAATTAAAGGTGCAAATCGTGATTATCGAAGAAGACCTAATTAATGTCATATTTTTACTACTTTCTCATTCCATGTAAAATGTTAATCTTTAATGTGAATGTATCTAGGTTGCAACTAGGAAAACTTGTATTCTTACATAATGGTGAGGTTACAAACTTAAGAAGAACAATAAAGTTCGAGTCAGTTACCCTGTTGTTCACAAAAAGCAAGGGACAAACACTTGACGATATTTGTATGGATATCAAAGGGGGGGGGGCGTAAACAGAAGAATACATACAGACACATACACTCAAATAAAACTAACCAAGAGTAGAAGAATCTTTAATTGCAGCTTTGCACAATTCAATCCGTGTTGAATGATACGGTACATAACGATCTTGTGGACTTCCAACTAACAGAACATAACGAAATAGATCCAAGCCAGGACTAGTACTTAAACGATATAAATATGTATTACGTAAATCCGGATCATCTCGCATTCTTAATTGTGAAAGACTTTCCGATTTTTTAATTTTTTGCATAACCCATATGCCCATATTAATGAGACCAGATGAATTGTATACTGTACCTAAATGTGGACCACTTAAAGATAGAAATGTGTGCAATTTAGACAAATATGGTTCCATCCGTGAATTCAATAATGCTGCACGTATTATAATACAACCCATACTATGTCCAATAAAACTGTAAAAAATAAAAAAAAACATAACAAAGCAAGAGTCAATAAAAAGCGTAAGAATAAGAAAATTAATGAATGTATAAAGACAATTTTCACAAATCGAGTAGTTCAATTAGTAGATTTTAGCCTTGAAATAATCCGCGAGCTGATTAATGATCTAAACAGCGTTGATTGAAATACTGTCACTAAGCACACCCAGGAGCTACATAAAAATAAAATACGATTTTGATTGTCTGCATACTCACAAAATGTTTGATGGACGATGAAATACATAGAAACTTCCATGAATAGCTTGAGAAGTATGTCTACAATGTGTCAAGGACAGATATATATAAGATTGAAAGCCTATTGTGCAAATGTTTTTATTCTTGCATTGTTTAGCAAAGATAAACAGTTATTTTCGAAGTATAATGTACTTTAGGTTTCACGGTGAGCGTTCAACCTTGTATCTGAAACTGTGACCCATAGGACGTCGGCCCAGTGGTTTTAATGGTTAAGTGTTCGATATAGAACATGAAGTTTTAGTGTTCGATTCCTGGCGGGGTTGTGGATGAGTAGTGATGAGGGACCCACAGTGGAACCAAATAGCTATCTGATTTCCCTGTGATTTTCATCGGTACCCTAATTGAAATAGATCTATAACGAATACAACATAACAATTAAACCATATTTTATTAAACTACTTCGAAGAAGCTATAATTTTGCCACTTATTTTTATACTAAGAAAGTTTTTAATAGTTGAATTCATGAGTTGATGTAAGCTCGACCGCCATTGAAAACCTGGAAGTATTGGACGGCTGTTTCGTCCTAGTAAAAAACTTCCCAGCAGTGCGCATCCACGATCACGAACACGGGATTCGAACCCAAGACCTTCGGTCTCTTAACCTCAAGACCACCGAGCCGGCATCCAACGGTGTTAATGTCTAACTTCAATCAATCCATGATCTTGTGCAACCATTCACCCATTATCTAAGATAGATACCTGTCTCTATTCGACACGCATTGGACTCAACTGGTCACGGCTTTTCACTAGAACTTCAGTCACTAATGAGCACATGATGATTATAATCACAATGGGTTTTTTGAGTATATTGTAGTAATTTTAATAATTGAATTCATGAGTCGATGTAAGCGACTGTCCAGTGCTTGCAGGTTTTCAATGGTGGTCTAGCTTACATCGACTCATGAATTCAACTATTAAATTTACTACAATTTCCAATTAACCCCCATTTTGATCATATTAAGAATAAACGAGTTATACGTACGTCTAATGACATCTATAATTTTGTGTTGATTTTCATCTAATATTATATTAATATGATCATGTCAGTTATCAGTTTAAATAACGAACGGTACTTGTTGTCAGCCATTAAACCTCTGGATGTCTTGATTGGACGTTTTAAAGTGTGAGTAGCTGCAGTGCTTATTGGCGTTATGATGAATACAGGATATATTTTACAGTTGGATTTCAGTTGATAGGTTGTAGGTTCAAACCTTGCTTTATTAAAAAATTTAGTCAGTTGGAGAGTATTATTAGCTTTCATAATAAAAGCATAGATCATAGGTTTGTTATTGTATTTTAATCTTACAAATTTTGATGTTCTTTCCTTCGGAAAATTTACACAGTTTAGGAGTTTTCAGAGATTTTAATCAAATTAAAGATAGTTATTTTGATTCATCACTGAGAAGTAGCCATTGTGATAATTGGCTAGATTTCATCGATCAAATTGTAAGGAGTAGTGACTATTAATCTAAGTGGCTTTATATGATGTGGATTGTCTTTCGATTCCCTTTAGATGGCTAACATTTAGTTTCTAGATATCTTTTACCATGAACTAAAAATTTGTTAAAATACCGCTGGAAGCTAGTGAACAGCCTTTCATTATAAACCGTATAGAACTAAATATTTTGCAACAATTATGCTGGTAAGTTAAGAAGTAATTAATTATGAATGTAGCCCTTATTACAGATTAACGTTAGCAAGTAAGTCATTGAAAACAAGAGAGGATTGGAAAACTGTTCCATTATCAGTATTATCCACCTATGCTTCATTTACAGATCGAGTAGAAATGATATTCAACTATGTAATCATATGAATAAATACGTTGAACACATTGAATAAGGCTTGTTCAATTGTTCATTATTCAATATAAAATATTGGGAATGTAAACTAAACAAAATAAGAAGTATTTACCTAATTCGCTTTGGTTTTTCATCCATTTCATCGATATAATTTGCAATTTCATTAACTAGTTTCTCACTCATCATATCAAAACCACCGAATGTATCGTCTTGATTACACTCTGACATAAGGAAATGTAAATTACAATCTGGTAAAGCTAATTGAAGATAAACACGTACAAGACGTAAATCACATGAATTACCTGATAAGCAAGGAAAAAGAAAAAAACAATGATAAACATTTGTGACACTAAAACATTATTTTCCATAAAACATTTAATTTAACTCAAGAATCCATAAAAACAGGTTCACTATATATATTCCTTTTACCATAAACATTCGATTAACCCACTAGTTTTTGTTGTATGATTTATTATTTTTAGTCTGTTAACAGTTTTATTACTCACAGTCATCTTTTGGCTTGATTTTGTGTAATTATTACTTTTCATTTTGTGGTGTGAAGTGGTCTGGTCTGTTTGTACGTAAACTGCGTATGTTTGAAATACAAAAAAACAATCTTGAACTGGTGATCATTGGTCTTGTGTTCTTCCTCTTCATTCGGGGTTAGTTAGTATTGGGTCAACCGTCATCAAGTATAGGGCATCAATCTTGTCGTCTTTGTAGCGTATTGATAACTTAAGGTCGTCCATGCGTATAGAACGTTGTTAGTGTAAAAACAGTTCACTCTGAATTCAGTACATGAATGAAATAAATTGAAGACTGAATTGAATTCTCCTATAATTCATCAAGTCGTTAAGAAGTTGTTTTCACAGATGAATTGTTTAAACTATTGTATTAACGTTTATTAATAGATAATTAGTTTCCATGGTGGTCTAGCTTCAATCGACTCATGATCTCGACTATTGAAATTACTATAATATCCACAAAACCCTTCTGGTATTATTCAACATATGCTCACTGATGACTGACTTCAAGAGGTATTTCCTGGAGTTCTAGTGAGAAGCAGTGACCAGTGCGGTTCAACCAGGTCTGCTGTCAGATATCAACTCACTGATGACAACGGTGGATATGTCACTCAATTTCGTGGATCGGTTAAAGTTAGACGTTAACACTGTTGAATGCCGGTTCAGTGGTCTAGAGGTTAAGCGCTCGTGTGCCGGACTGATAGGTCGTGGATGCGCACTGCTGAGGAGTCTCACAATAGGACGAAACGGCTATCCAGTGCTTCCAGATTTTCCGTGGTGGTTTAGCTTCAATTGACTCATGATCCCAACTATTGGAAATAAGTCGTTTAACCAAATCCGATATTTTGTTAACAGTAAACCAAGCAATGGATTAAGCAATAACGAATGATATTTTTAAAACTAATGATTGTCTTTCTCATTGAAATCGATCTAAGAAGTAACTAGTAGGTTGAGCGAACATAGATACTTATAATCATTTATAAACCTATAACGAAAGATATCCGAATCACCATTAATAAAACGGAATATATATATATATATATATATATATATATATATATATATGTTGTGATACAATTTTGGTTCGCATACCATTTACTCAAAAATTACAGTTCTATAATAAACAGTGTAAACTTACCATCTAGACCATGAACACAAACTATAAGATGTACATCACCACTGAATACAGGTGCTTCTGAAAAATATGGATATGGTGCAGCAAGTGTAGCGAAATCACTATAAACATAACCTTGAAAATGTGGTGCGATTTGTCGTTTAACATGTTCTTTCAAACGTAAAAATTCTATTACACCAGGTGATAATATATCAACAAGTGAGTGAGTTTTTTTAATATCTAAATGGATACCATTTAATGTATTTCGATTATTATCATTTTGTTCTTTGGATGATAACGAAGATGTATAAGTTAAAGATTTTGTTTTTTGAAATTGTTTTTGATTAGTAAGTGAATGTGTTGAAAGTTCGCAACTCTTATAAGTCTACAGTAAGAAAAACGAAAATTTAAAAGAATTATGTAGGAATGTCCAGGATAGTATTATGAATATTGGATAATATAGTACATTGAAGACGCAGTTTTGACTTAATGGGATCACTATGTATTTAACGAATTTGAGCTTTAATAAGTGTGACTTACTGCAACTGAAATATCAGGTATAAATTTATAACACCAGTACTAAAATACATACTTTGTGTGATGACTTCCGATTCTGCGCAGGTGCCTTAAAGTAGTAGTTTAGCCTATTATAGTGACCTGGTTGAACCATGTTGGCTGGAATACTTGATTTTTAGGTCCTACTACATTAGGGCAGGTCAGTTGGAGAACGGTTAGGTTAAAAGGAGAGAATTGTGACAACGGTTAAGTATTTGCTTTAAGCAACCAGCGTTTTCGTCTTCCCACAACGAAAGGAGAGGATCAGAGAAGACCAACCTTTAAAAAATACACCTCAGTTTACTTCAAGGGTTTCCGTCGCCAGAGATGAGACCCTAAAAGTACAGTTATCTCATCTGAAATTAGTCAGGATAGGGTCGTGTATAAACGGCCTTCGCAATGCGATCACGATTCCAAGTTTTCTAAATCACTTTAATTCCAGATTCACTTTCATTTATTTTAACAACTCAAACTAATTTTTTCATGTAGGATAGCACCAGTTATCTTGTGAATGGGCAATGAATCTGATTCGCTATTCAATATATTACTAAGTTTCTTAAAGAGACTTTCGTGAACAACTTGCTTCAAACAACGTGTTTTTGTACCAAGTATAATTGTCTATTGGATTCTCTGAGTACATTTTTCTAGATTGTACGGTATCAAACTACATTTCTTAAGTAGCAAATTAGTAAAAATTCCCAAAAGACCTTAAAGTGATAGGTAAATGAACTTCTTTTGTACACAGGGATCAAGCAACCGATCTTCTCGTTTATAAGACAAAACGTCAACGGAAGTGCGATTTATAATCAAGCTATTTCACTGAAGTAAAAGAGACAGCTAAGTGTAAACTTTTAAAATGACTTAGTATGCTTTCCAAATTTTGTATAAAAATATAACGACGTATAAGAGTTAGAACTCATTTAGATTCGATTAAAAATAATATAAATTGGATAATCAGTAAACATAATAGCGTAATTTCTTATATATTGCACTGAGGGCAAGATTGTCATCCAATAACTAATTACAGATAAAAATGGATAGAAAATACAGAACCTAAGAGGCATAAGGTGGAATTCTTGTTATTTATCATACATGATGAATCGGTCAACTACTTCAAACGATTGATAAACAACACAAATATAAAATATGTATCATATGATTTGATCGGTTTTGAGCACTACAGAAGGACATGATATTTATCTACTATTAATAAACGATTAATTAGAGATTAAAAGTCTAACATAATGATGAAATAGGTTAGTAATAGTGACAAGAGTTCGAGTCCCATGGATTACTCCACAGCATTGCGGATATGAGGACTAACACTGAAAACTGGATCCAGAGAGCTTCCACTTGATTGCCTTTAATAATTTAACATCACAAAGTTGAAATATATATATATATATATATATATATAGTAACTTGATGGACAGAATCTAGTGCTTCTAGGTTTCCAATGGTGATCTAAAATCGATCGATTCATGAGCTCAATCAAAAACTTAACAATCTCCACAACCCCATACAGAATAATAATAGTTGTTCTGAAAAAAAGTTTTTAAGCGAATTAACAATTAACTAATAAATATAGAGTAAAACAAAGAAAAAAACACAAGAAAACGATGATTGATTTGCAGTGAGCTAATTAGTTATTTTATGAAATGAAAACAAATGAACGTTTTCAAAATACTTACAGCATAGTTGATAGTTGTAGCTTTTTTAGGTAGTACATCATTACAACTGTCCAAATCGATGGTGTTCAACATTTCTATAACACTAAGTTTCGGTGAATTTTTATTTGATAATTCTTCATCACTACTTAATAAATTGGAAACCTGATAACCGCATTCTTTCAATCGGTTATCGTGTATCGATGATAATAATAATGCTGATGATGATTCTGCAGGTAATGATGGTAAACATTTATTACAATGTAATGATGAATGTGAAGAATCAGAATTACTAGATAAACGTTGTTTATTAATGCAGTTGTCAATAGTTGCTTGAGTTGTATCAACAGGACCATTCAGATGATTTACTTTTCTTCCTTGATCATACTGACAAGATGTTATACTTGCGGAAAAGTCATGTAATTCAGTAATAATTTGTTGATTTAATCTATTCTCTTGATTATTTCCAACAGTTAGTGATTTCGGTCGCTGGTATTTACCATTATTATTATTATCATTACTATCGTAAATATAATTGTTACTGATATTATTATTGTGAGTAGTGATGGTGGACCGCCTTTTATCATTACCATCAGTATAAGTTGCACTCACTAAATGACCTTTATACGTTTTTAAACTATTTGCCTGTTGCCTATAATGATTACGACTACCAGTAGTATTCCGTTGATTGGGCCAACAATGTGATAGAAAACTATAACCATTCATACTCTGTTGTTGCATACCATCCACCAAGTCAATATTAGAAAATGATGATGTCAGCCAAGATGGTTTATTCAAAATGAATTCTTCATTGGTTGATAAAATGGTACTTGATTTAGTTAAACGTTTCTTTAATTCAAACGAAGAATTAGGAATAGATGCATTTGAAATCATTTTAAAAGAATCATTTATTGGCAATGGGTGATAATTTATGGTTTTAAATTCATTTTCTAATATACCAAGGCGTAAATCTGAACAACTACTCAAATAGGCTAAACTAAAAAACAAACAAACAATAAAAAAACACATCAATAAACTGAGCAAACGACATAAATTTATCGAAATAAAGCTTAATGATAATAATGCCAGTTTGAAGACTACTTATACGCCCTAAATTTATTTAATCTAAGAAAAACAAATAGATAAAAATGAACAAAGATCTCTAAGCTTAAAGTTAACAACACTAATGACTGACATGAAAAGATGAACAGAATTATGCTTTGTAGAGTATAAATGATAAATTACACAGACAGAGTATATTATGTATGCAGTAAATAAACATTAGGAGAAACAGAAATGATATTGATTGTAGTCAAGTATGAAACTTATCTATTTTGCTGTGTTGTTTTGTCAACAACGTCATACGATATGCAATAACTTGGTTGTTTAGATGAGTTCAATGTCCTTATTGAATAATTATTAAGCGACTAGATTATATTTATATATTCATATGCCTTTTATCATAAGCATTAATTTGACCTATTGATTACTATCATACAATTTACTATTCTTATCGTATTTCTAATCTATTAGTTACAGTCTTTCAAACTTACAGCCACTTTTAGATTGATCTTGCATAATTGTTATTTTTTAAATTTATGGTGTGATACTGTCTGGTTTACTTGTATATAAACTATGTATGTCCGAAATATATCAATCATACAGTGGATGCTGAGATTGTGTTTTGGACTCAAACGGACAGGGCTAGGCGCGAAGAACCAATAATGACTCAGAGTTGACTCTAGGCTGCTAGTGCTGGTTGGCGTGCCATTGGTTTAGAACAGGGACAAGGTCATAGAAGTTGGTATTCTGATTGGCGATTTTGTCAACTGATATTTGGTAGGGCATAGGACATAACAGAAGCTTTAATTGTAATAGTAGTTCACAATGTAAAGTAATTTAGTCATTTTTTATGAAGACATCTGGATCGGTTATATTGATGCTTTACAAAATTATTGATTAATATTATGGGATTAGGGAGGTTGTTGAATTTTATTGAGATCATGAATCGATCACAGTTAGGTAACTATTGAAAATCTAGAAGTAACTACTTCATCCTAGAAGTAAGGATTCGTTACTTTGTAATTTCGAATTGAACCCAGGACCTTCGATTTCAAGGGAGGACCCATAACCTTTAAACCACTGAGCTGGGGTAAAATAATGCAAAATTCTAACTTCAATCATTTCACCATACTAGGAGCTGTTTTAAGTTTAGATATCACAGAGTATTATTATTATTATTAGCTTGATTCAATATTATATTATTTGGTACAAAATCGAATTCTCAGCATAAAGTATTTCAACATATTTAAGTTTCTTATTTCTTCGTTGCTCCTGATGATAAACATTCAGTGATCGCCAGTTGGATGTCAGCAGTTCAGTCAATCGACATATGAATAATGTATATTCTTTTTGCTGCATGTTCCCAGCAAAGACGACATGTCTGATTAGACCTTTTCTAACTTTTACAGCGAAAGGTTGTACAGTTTTCAGAAACGCACCGGAATAGGTTGTGTGCTTAATAGCCATAATGATGTATTAAAACAAACAATATTAGATAACTTGTTGAAATATATGGATGACGGGAAACAGGTAGCCCAGATGTTTAAGCAGGCCGCCCGTAGTAGGAGTAGCGTAAAAAATACTAATCACAGACACTATGATTCGGGGGGAAAACATGAATTCGTGGGACAAAGAAATGAAAGATAGTTTTAAAACTCAGGATCCAGGGGAAGACAATGGGTCGATGCATCAGCGTCATTGTGATCAACGATGTCTACGATTACATACTGTTAAGCTACGAATATCCTCAATCTTTAAGAGCCATGTTTTATAGTCATACAGTTAGGCGTAATCACTGCTGCGTAGGATTTTCATCCTTTAGTTGGTAGACAGATTACAATAAATGCGACACAATGTGAGAAAAGCTAACTTAGAGTTTGGGATCTCTGCCGAGATTTCGTTGGATGCTAACACATCACGGTTGATGAGACTTTCATATGTAATTTCCGGAAAATCTATTTTTGGCAAGCTGGATTATGAGTACATTATTCACTGGGATAACATCAAACAATCGTATCATCCTACTACAGTATAAACAGCAACCAACCTCACAAAACATAAAATATTGAATTTCGACTTAATGGTACTATAGTTGTAAAATTCAACGATTTTCAGTTCTATTCTATTCATTATCAAACAAATAGTTATGAATTATCAGAAAAATCAGTCCAATGTGCTCTTTTTTATAGCTCCTATGATCTCACTCAATTGATCGAATGGATTATTTAAAAGACAATCCATAATGGGATAATATAACCAGAGTTGATAAAATTTATTGTATTAAGCTGTTGGATTATTTTACATTCTGTTATTTACAAGTTACATCATATTCTTAGATGAATTTAGAGAGCATCGACAAATTACAAAAAATGATTTAATTGAACATTCACTTTTTTAGTCGTTAAGATTAAGTTTTTTAACTGGTGTAAACACATTCAGTAATGGTGAAAATTTTTAAAAATTAACATATTGTATTATAAACAACTAAATTAATCAAAGAAAATAAATAAGAAAATGGAATGAACTTACTCTGCAGTATAAGTTTTTAATTGACTACAGTGCAATTTTCTAAGATATAAAAAACAACAGAGGTAAAGTATGATTAAGGATAATAACATGTAAACATACTATCATAGTGCATACTAGAGAAACTACTACTAATCCGCTCTCCATCTGCCGCTTCGAAAAGCTTGCTTTACGCGCGTTTATTCCGTGACCCTGTGGCATCTTCGTCTAGTATTGCTAGCGTTGGTGTCGCACTAAGCGCTAGAGGTGAGGTAGCACTAATCGATTGAATACACATTAACAGTTGGTTATGAGCTGTTGGATTAAAAAGTTCCATCAAAGTAAAAAGAAATCGGTGTGAGAAACGATATCTTTCCGTCATCTCCGCCTATGCTTCGACAGACTGCAGCTCGGATGAATTTTACCACCAGTTAACTGTTCTTCTTCAGAAAGTGCGTAGTACTGACCGAAAACTTGAATGCTCAGGTCGGGCGTCTAGACACAGAAGAGAGTCGTTTAGGTGGCTAGTGGGGACTTGTTGGTCACAGAACAGATAACGGGGACCGTCTACTGCAACTGTGCAGAGACCACAACCTGTTTCTGGCTAGCACTAGCTTCCGGCACATTCATTGCCGATGTGCCACCTGGCGTCCTGCCTCTGCATCTCAAGCATGGACTCAGATTGATCACAACGCAATCAACTACCGCTGGCGTGGTTGTGTACAAGACTGCCGCTCCTTTTGGAGTACTATTTGGACTCTGATCATGTCCTGGTCTGTGCCAATCTTACCTTACTTTTCAGTGGCCAACGAATTGGTCTTCATCAACGGATTGACGTCAGTAAATTGATTGCAAGTAAATATCTAACCGAGCTAGATTCAAGTCTAGCTAACATCCCACCGAAAAGTATAGATGAGCATTGGTTGCAACTGCATGACGCCATGAAAATAGCGAGTAAAGTCTCTTGCGGCTTCGCGAAGCGTCCCGCTTATAAGCACTGGGTTTCTTCAGGCTCCTTACACCTCATCAAGACCCGTTGGTCTACTCTGAGTGACCGTGAGTTTGACCACAAACCAAGGCTGTTACGTAATGAAATTGGACAAAGCTCGCGTGAGGACCGAGAAGCCTGATGATCGGAGTGTGCTAGTGAGCTGGAAGCAGCAGCTGCATCTGGTAACTGCCGGAAGCTCTTCCAACTCATCCGAGCCACTGGCAGCAAGAAGTCTGGTGTGAGCGAAACAATCTGTGAAGATGACGGGATGCCAATCACTAGCATCTATCGACGTTTTGGACGATAGACAGTTCAACTAGTCTACTGCCCCGGTAACATCGATCAAATTGTCTTATCCTCCACGGCCGGTGACGACCGATCCACCAAATGAGGCGGAAGTCCTCAACGAACTCCAACTCTCGAAACGCTACAAATCACCGGACCAAGATGACCAAACTCCGACCCTCTTTAGAGATGGTGGTAACTTTCTGGTTAAAGAACTGACTACGCCGTATACAAAGGTCTGGGAGTTAGAGAGTGTCAAAACATCATGGAATGAGTCGATAGTTGTCCCTATCTTAAAAAGGGTTCATGTCGTTTCTGCATAAACCATCGTCTACTTCCGATTGCGTCCAAACTATTGGCTTCTGTCATACTTCGTACATTGTTCAAAACCCGAGAAAGATTGGCTGGCAGGGAGCAGGTTGGTTTTCGTTCTGGTCGAGGATGTATTGATCATATCATCAACCTCCTCCAAATGTTAGAACACAGTCATACTTATCGCAGGCCAACAACCGTAGTGTTTATTGATATCAGGGCTGCCTTCGATTCGTTGGACAGAACTGTTTTCTGGGATTGCCTATTGAGGAAGGGTGTGCCTGAGAATTTTATTAACTTAAAGGCCCTATGTACAACACACTTTGCCATCGATGACCTTCTGGAAACAGCTCTGATGGATGCAGGTAATGATGGTGTGGGTCTGTTACCTGGAGAAAGACTTCTCGACCTTGGGTATGCGGATGATATTATCTTACTGTACGATAATACCAAAGCCATGCAATCCACACTTAATCAGTTGGCAATTAGTGTCCGTAGGTATGGTATTTGATTTGCACCTTCCAAGTGCAATGTACTTTTACAACACTGGCAGGACCCTAATCCTGCACTTAACCTGGGTAGTGAAAAGATTGAAGTAGTCGAGAAGTTCATGTGTCTGAGTAACTGCATAAGTGCTGATGGTGGCGTGGGTGATAAGATCAATTCATTTATAGTGAAACCCAGAGCAGCTTATGCCAATCTGGGCCATCTATGGAGCCTTCGTAATATTAGTCTGGATGTAAAAGGTCAGATCTACAGCACGTCGATGACAGCAGTTTTGCTCTATGATTGTGAGACCTGACCTCAGAGTTAAACATGTTAAAAGACGACTCTATTTGATCATCGTTGTCCCTGAAGGATTGCTGACATCCAGTGGCAAAACCGTGTTAGCAATGCAGAGGTTTCGGTATCGTGTGTTCAGACAGCGACAATAATTCAGTTGGTGTCACTGTCTTGAAACATCGACTTCGGTAGCTTGGGCATGTCCTACGAATGTCGTACGAGAGAACCTCACGTCATTCACTATTTGCCGACACTGGAACTGATTGAAAAAAGGGAAAGGTGGTCAGTGTATGACATGGTGTCGTGGTATGAGAGAAAGCTGCACAGAAATGGCTTTTGTTAATCTCTCACGAATCCCTGGTTGGGGTCCTAGAGATGGTACAACAAAGTGGCTAGAGACGTTATCAGATATGGCTCAGAATAGAAATCAGTGGAGTTTCTGCTGTAACCTTCTTTTACTTTCCTCGTAAAAAGTAGCCGTAACTTCCTTGACTGAAAGAATTCTTTCTGGTTGTATTTTTGCTAACTGAACTCCTTCTCCCATTATTATTACTTCACTATCATGAACTAATTTCTGCTCGTTATTGTTCAACTTTTTCTTATATGCACCTTACATTCTTTATCTCTTTTCATTCTCATTGTTATTGTGTGATACATATGTATCTGGTGCCACTTTGTATTAATATTTACGTGTTCAAATAAGTAATTATAAGTAAATATACTAGGGAATAAAAGAAACTTGAAGAAAACATTATTTCTGATATGAATAACATTTTTTGTGGGTAGTATTAGTCACAGATTGATTTCAGTTACGTTACCACTAGAAATAAGATGACATTAGTCATGACATATCGATGGAACTATATGAGATTTTTGAGGTAAATTACTGGTAAATTGTAGAAATACTGGTTTAATTGAAAGCATTTTATGATTTCATTCTTCTCAAAGCGTATTACGTTGGGCAACATTTTATTTTTAAAGGTTGTTTGACGTTAAACGGCACTTTTAATACTGATATTTTGAGGAAATTGGTCAGTGGATGTACAGAGCACACAATTTTCAACCAATCGGTTGCGGATTGCAAATACACTATTCCACTTCACGTGATTGAAGGTAGTCAGTAGGATATCTTGAACTTCTGTCTTGAGATAATCTTGAATAAATCTATCTCCAAAAGTACTGAGCCACCTCTAAGTAAGAGCATCTTGATAAAGAACAAAATGATGAGTTGGTGAGGGGGGATACAGTACTTACTTACTTACTTACGCCTGTTACCCCTCGTCGAGGAGCATAGGCCGCTCACCAGCATTCTCCATCCAACTCTGTCCTGAGCCTTCTTTTCCAGTTCTTTCCAGTTACTATTCAGCCTTTTCATATCGGCTTCTATTTCCCGGCGTAGTGTGTTCTTTGGCCTTCCTCTTTTCCGCTTCCCTTCCGAATTCCAAGTTAGGGATTGAGTCGTGATGCACATTGGTGATTTCCTTAATGTATGTCCGATCCACTTCCAACGTCTTTTCCTAATTTCCTCTTCAGCTGGAAGCTGGTTTGTCCTCTCCCATAAAACGCTGTTGCTGATAGTATCCGGCCAGTGGATGTTGAGTATTTTGCGTAGACAACTGTTTATAAATACTTGTACCTTCCTGATGATGGCCGTAGTAGTTCTCCACGTTTCAGCTCCATATAGTAGGACTGTCTTGACGTTCGTATTAAAGATTCTCACCTTGAAATTAGTTGAGAGTTGTTTTGAGTTTCATATGTTCTTCAATTGTAGAAATGCTGCCCTTGCTTTGCCAATCCTCGCCTTTACATCTGCATCCGATCCTCCTTGTTTATCAACGATGCTCCCCATGTACTTGAATGTTTCCACCTCTTCCAGAGTTTCGCCGTCAAGTGTGATTGGGTTGGTGTTCTCCGTGTTGCATTTGAGAATCTTGCTTTTTCCTTTGTGAATGTGGAGACCTATCGATGCGGAGGCTGCTGCTACATTTGCTGTCTTCATCTGCATTTGGTCGTGTGTATGAGAGAGGAGGGCTAGGTCATCTGCGAAGTCCAAATCATCTAATTGATTCTGAGCTGTCCATTGTATTCCGTATTTCCCTTCAGATGTCGAATTCTTCATAATCCAGTCAATCACTAGAAGGAAGAGGAATGGGGAGAGTAGACAGCCTTGTCTGACTCCGGTCCTTACTGGAAATGCACCTGTCAGCTGTCCTCCATGCACCACTTTGCACTGTAATCCATCGTATGAGTTTTGGATAATGTTGACGATCTTCTGAGGAACTCCATAGTGTCGAAGAAGTTTCCATAATGTTCTCCTGTCCACGCTGTCAAACGCCTTCTCGTAGTCAATAAAGTTGACGTATAGTGATGAGTTCCACTCAACTGATTGTTCAACGATGATCCGTAGTGTCGCAATCTGGTCTGTGCACGACCGATCATTACGGAATCCAGCCTGATGATCCCTTAGTTCGGCGTCTACTGCGTCTTTCATCCGATTCAGCAGCACTCTGTTGAAAACTTTTCCTGGTACTGATAACAAACTGATACCTCTGTAGTTCTCGCATTTGCTCAGATCTCCTTTCTTTGGTATCTTGATGAGATATCCTTCTTTCCAGTCCGTTGGCACTTGTTCCTCTTCCCAAATCTTTTTGAATAGAAGGTGAAGCATGTTTGCAGTTATTTCAATGTCTGACTTCAGTGCTTCTGCTGGTATATTGTCAGGTCCTGCCGCCTTCCCACTTTTGATTTGTCTGATGGCCATCTTGACTTCTTCGATCGTTGGTGGAGTGACAGAGGGGGGATACAGTAAAGATTAATAATTGATTTTGGAGATTTATGGATAATAACCGATTAACTGTGAATAGATAAAGTCAAGAGAATTACTAGCGAATCAATTATCATACCGAAAATGTATGCATCAACACTGAGACGCAGATGCATCCAGCTGATAAATCCCACAAAAGACGAAATCCATTTCGTAGAGTCCTTAAGCTAGCTACAGTTCTTCTACTTCGAAAAGAAATTGTGACAAAATGGATATTTTTCATTTATTTTAATGCATAAATATTGGTACAAAAGGGCACCGAACACATATGTGCCACACAAATCATTTTATTTGTGTGAGAGCTGAGATACTGCCCGTGCAACCAAACCGAAGCAGGTGGTTTTCTTAAGGGGCCACACCCCGATCCTTTGATCTAGACTTGTAATCCACAAGAAAGTGAAGCAACGTCAGGAGATGCAGTCCCATAGTAACCGGTGACTAACAAACGGTTCATACTCTATTTGCTCTCTCAGGATTCTGGAGCCCATATGCACCATTGGTTTGGAATCAGGGTTTTCCAACTTCCCTAGGTGGATCCTCCATGTTCAGTCACCCGGTTAAAGAATCGGACATTTGCTTTTCGTTCTTTCATTTTCGTAAACAACATCCCCCACATCAAGAAGGTAGTGAGTAGGACTACCTAGACAGTGGCTGTAAACGAGTGGCCATGTGAGAGCATTTTGAGAGGGCGAGCGGACTCTTCCCACCCTCGGTTGTACCGGGAAATTCGGGAGCAAAATGGTTACATTGGGGGGCAATTCACACAGGATGAATTAATGCCAACAAAGACTGGTCGAAATGCAGTCATAAATATCAATAAAAAGGAAAAAGGACTTCTGAATAATAATAATGATAATATTAATGGTAATAAGAATGATATAAACAAGGTATTTAAATGTTTCAAAACAGAGTTGTTAGTGAATTTTTTTTGACATAAGGTGTTCGTGAAGTAATGTATGAATATGAAATCAACATACCTAGCAGGAAGCATATGATTTCTTTTAAGATTTCGCACTTTTACTCGCCTTCGAGATTTACTCCAAGAAAATTGATCTACTGATGAAATATTTGTAAGACATCCTTCTGAAACTACTCTTGGAATTATACATGAAAGTGGAATATTCGGTAGGGAAACAGAACTGCTACCAATATTAGTTTTGTAAAGATGATTACACGGCAATAGGGAATCTGTTTCGTCAGATATGTGTTCAGATGGTACACATCCACCGGGTGGTTTTGTTGGAGGTATTTTTAAAGTGCCTAATGCAATAACTTCATGAGATTTAATACGATTGGACAACTTTGAGTTGGTGTAATTTGTAGATGACGTAAATGAAGTTGAATTTAAAATATTGCTGTCTTTATTGTTTGTTGAACATTGCAACAATGGTGTATCGTTCAGTTCGCTTGAAATATTCAACATAGATAAAGATGTAGATTTTGATGAACTATTATTTATATTGATCGTTTCTAAATTGGTACTTTTTATTTGAGATGATTTAAGTGATAAATTGTAAAGGGAACGAGAACGCATGCTAAAAAATTAAAATAAAAAAGATTAGTGTCATGAGTTTGCTGAGATTGTTGAGTTGTATAGTATATATCACTAACTGACCTGAGTCAGAAAATCTGTAAAAAAGTAGCTATTTAGTTCTAGTGTGAGACACCCTAAAATGTTTATGTACGGCTCCTCGTGAGGGATGCGACCAAAAAATTTCCGGTCTCACTATAATGGGAAGTAGCAACCAGTAGTTTCTAACTATGCCGAATGAGAGGTAATTTACCCGAGAATGTTGGTGAAAGCTAGTTGAGTAATATCGTGAATTGAAGCTAGAAATGTAAACTATTGGATGCTTACTGAGTAGTCTAAAGGTTAATTGCATAGTGGAACTGAACGGCAGTTCAATACTATCTGGTTTTCGGTGGTTGTTTATTGAAATTCAGTTGTTCTTGAATGTAAACTATGAAAATAAATAAAATGTGTTTGTGGTATGGTATATAATTTGGGGATTGATAATCTCTCAACAATATAAATCCCGCAATACATAAGCTTTTTTAACACAGGAAATATTCAATGTGTATTAGGATCAAAATATAACGACAAACTGTACTCATTTATTTGGGAATAAGTGTGAACGAAAGTTTAGAAAATAAATTACAATTATTGATGTCATATTTGTCTAATCCTTTTGTGGCGATAGAAGTATATTGTGACCATTAATTAAAGTGAATAGAAATGACGTGGATTATATCGATATCCTAGGTGATTGGAGGTTGTTGAGAGCAAACAGTACACTTAGGTCTTATTCCAGTTGGTACTTGGCAACAATGAGTATGTACAATTTGTCAGAAGGTAATACCTTTAGTCTAAGTGATTCGTTAAATAACCTACAATACTGGGATTCCCAAATTGATATATTATTTCCATTAAGTAGACAAATCTCAACGTTAAAAATGAAAGTAGACAGAATAGCTGATCAACGGACTGACTATGTCTTAATAGTTCTATTCTCGAATGGATATCAGTCAACAATTACAGAAAGAAGAGCTAGAAATTTTCTAAGAACTTGATAGGAACACTGAAAATAATTATCACTTTTAGTATAGAAAATCATTAAAGCAAATATCAAATTTTACATTGCAATCTGATGTAATAGTTCATGAATAAAATAACAAACAAAACATTATTCTACTCACTCTCGAATAGCCAATCCACCGACAGGACGTAGGACACTAGAAGAATATGAACAGTGATTTATATTGGAATCCATGTTTAAAGAGGATTCAGTCATTCTACGTCGATTGTCAGATAAACCAGAATATTGATTCATTGTAACGTTGTCCTCTACTGGTTGAATAGAACGGTAACCAACTAATTTAACATTTGAGTTATTATTATTTAAATGTGATAAAACATTAGATCCACGTGACTTGTCAAAATAATGAAATTTCCGACTATGGTTACTAGGTAAGTGAAATCTACGTTTAGATTGTCCATTAACTAAGAGTTCTGGGGTTGCGATATTGTTAACTGTAGTAAGAAATGGTTTAAAAATTGGTCTAGTTGTTACATGAATTTGCTGTAATGATGTTGATGGTGACAAGAGATCAGGACTTGAATGAGAAAAATTTTGAAGTTGATAGTTTGAAGGATGGTTTGGTGCAGTTGATGGATATATATAGTTTGATATAGGTGTAGATTCTTTTTTATTAACTGTAAATAAGAAGAGTATAGTGAATTATTTTGTTAGCACAGATTAAGTGTCCCTATAGACGTGCATTAGTTCTGATGTAGATGCAGGAAAAGTAATTTAGTTTACTATGAGAAGGCATGCAAAATTTGCGATGCTTATAACATGATTGGTTTTTTAAGTATATGATCAGGTGGCCTACTAATCAGATTGAATTTTCATGTGGCCAACAGACATTTTTCATTCTAACAGACAATTTTGATTCCATTTTTTATAGTGTACACATCTATGTGACCTGCTTACGAATTTTTATATATGTATAATTTTATATATACGTGATTGCAGGTATGTTTCCAAGACCACCGAATAGTATTAGTCCCGTCAATTGCATTCGTTTCTATAATCCATATAATTCATAGCTATTTAATTCAGTTCAATTTATATCCGATTAAATCAGGTTATTGTTAATTCCATTTAAATTGCAGTACAGTTGAATCAATATTTATTTGTTCTGATTAAAATTGGAAAACCTGTTAGATAATTCGAATACAATACTTAATCATGTCTAATCCAGGCTTGTTCTAATTACATTCATGACAGCATTGTCAAGGCGTCTATTTGGTTTGTAGAATGCCCATTTAATACTATCCCAGCTCATATTTCTCTCCTACTAATGATACGTTCGCCGTTATTATTGAAGTAAAAATGTAATCAATAGTATAAATTCATTATCGCGGCGGGGGTGTTGTTTGCGAAAATGGAAGAACAAAAAGCAAATATCCGATTCTTTAACCGGGTGACTAAACATGGAGGATCCACCTAGGGAAGTTGGAAAACCCTGATTCCAAACCAATGGTGCATATGGGCTCCAGAATCCTGAGAGAGCAAATAGAGTATGAACCGTTTGTTAGTCACCGGTTACTATGGGACTGCATCTCCTGACGTTGCTTCACTTTCTTGTGGATTACAAGTCTAGATCAAAGGATCGGGGTGTGGCCCCTTAAGAAAACCACCTGCTTCGGTTTGGTTGCACGGGCAGTATCTCAGCTCTCACACAAATAAAATGATTTGTATGGTACATATATATTTGGTTCCTCCTTAAACCAATGTTAGTGTTTGAAAATATAGTAAATAATAATTATCATGAATATAGAAAAATTTATCGTGAGAAAACACAGAAGTCAATTTATTCGAAAATTAATTGATCTAAAGTGATACAGTATATTTAAAAAAGAACAATAGTATTCATTTAAGTCAAGTTATGATGATCACATTTATTTGAGTTTATTAATTAACACTGTATTTCTGGTAAGAGTTGGAAATCTGTAAAGTTAAAGCGATGGTCAACCTTAGCTAACAGCAGTAATTTATTTTAGTCATAACCGATGACAATGAAAGGATGAGATTAATGTGCAATGGTTCACTCTATTCTACATTATGGCTGTAAAAAATGGCGTTTATAAAGAGAAAATGTATGTAGGTTACTAGCATTCGATTACGGATATCTTCGACGAATAGCTGGTATGTTTTGGGGTAATCAAGTCAGAACTTCTAAGGGGAATAATTTTCGAGTTCGAATCAACGGATAGCTGATTGAATTTATTTATTCATTTAAACACACAAACGTCGGTACAAATGAACCACAAATCATATATGCGCCATATACATCGTCGAATTCATGTGTTGGCTGGGATATTGTTAGGGTGAACAAACCAAAGCAGATAGTTTTTTTTAGGGGGCCACATCCTGAACCTTTGACCCGAACGTTTAACCCACAGGGAAGTGGAGAGACGTTAGGAGATACGAGCTCATGGTAGCCGGTGGCTAACAATAGGTTTATAAGCCGTTTGTCCCCTTAGGAATCTGGAGCATGTGTGCTACATTTGTTTGGAATCGCGGTTAACTGACTCCCTCAGGTGGATCCTCCATGCCTACCAACTTGGTTTAGGCACCGGATATCTGCTTAATGTCCTCTCAATTCCGTAAACAACACCCTCACCGCGAGAAGGAGGTGAGTAGAACTTCTCTGTCAGTGGCTATGTACGCGTGGTCGTGTGAAAGCATTTCGGGAGAGAGAGCTGACTCTCCCTACCTCGGTCGTACCAGGGCATTTGGGTAGGATGAATCTCATTTTGAATAACTCTGCTGAATGCTATTTCAGACACTTGTAGATTTTAAGCGATATACAAAACGTACCAACCAATAATGCTATTGTTTTATTCTTACACCCCTTGTTTTTATTGACATCCCGGTTTCATACATTTTTTGCATAACTAGACGAAATACCTGATGTAAAAGTGGGATAAAAAGAATAAGGACATTTACAATAGAAACAAAATGATTACTCATGTGGAAATCAATTGAAAGGTTAGTTATAAACTTGTAATATCCTTACACACGTGCAGCTAAAAAACACTTATAGAAAAATTAAGAAAAGTATAGACCAAAATTTAGTATTGTAGAATACTTGGTATAGAAGAGTAGAGTCTAAGTGTAGTCTCTGTAAAGGAAAATGGAAATGATAGAAGTGCATAAAAAAGTTATTGTATCTCCTTAAACTGTTTAGCAGACAAATTACATGTGTGGGTCAGGGATGTTACTTAACTGTCTAACAGGAGGTAGGTAAAGTGTAGTTTAATTGTGTTGGTGAATGATAGAAACTCAAGTGGTAGAACCATTATGTCAACGTTACAATAATTTTTAAAATAATTTTAAGGTAACAGGAAGTTTACTATGTTTTTCTTATAATGAAACAGAAAACAACCTTTTCATCAAATCCTAACAGTCTAAAACGATTACGATAAATGAAGTGAAAAACAATTGACGAATTATAGTATGGGAATTGAATGAAATTGTAAATATGAGATACCAGAAGCAAACTCATTGCTTAAAAGATAAATGCGATTGTCTCGAGGAATGTAAGTTTTTGTTTCAATTTCTGGAGGGATAGTGTGTGTGTACGGGTATTAAATCTATTTCTTCGAGGTAGCACGAAAGATAGGCAGGAACCATTCTAATATCTCTTTAGTTAGTTTTGAACAAAAACGAAACAAATATTTAATATTCCTTAGTTTCCAATTAAATTCCGCCTGCAGCTCTTCTCCAGTTACTGTCGGTCCCAAGACCACACAAAAGAAGGTGGGTTGGGCATGGGGTCGGTAATCTCATCCTATAGAAAACAACATTGCTAAAAAACATCAACCAGATTAAACAAATTAAACGATTTAAACACTGTCTTGGAACTTGACAGAAGAATTATGAAGACGCCTCAGGATGAAAGCAGAGATTCTTCGGAAGTCTCTTCTGACAGCCAGAGAAACAATTAACATAGGTACATGGAACGTCCGGACAGTGTGGGGGAACTGGAGGATCAGTCGAATAGCAACGAAAATGAGGAGATACAACTTGGCAGTACTTGGAATCAGAGAAACCCATTGGACCCAATCTGGATAGCGCAGGCTACATACGAGAGGGATGCTGCTGTACCGCGGACAACCTTCCTTGGAGATACTAACAAAAACTCCAATGAATCCACCGAACATTAAAGCAGCACACACAAACCTTCTTACTTGAGTAAAATCACCAACACATGGAATTCATACGACGGACTACAGTGCAATGTGGAACATGGAGGACAGCTGACAGACGCATTACAAGTGAGAACAGGAGTCAGACAAGGCCGTCTACTCTGCCCCTTCCTCTTTCTACTGGTGGTTGACTGGATTATGAAGACCTCGATACCTGAGGGAAAGCACGGAATACAATGGACATCTCAGAACCAGTTAGACGGTTTCGACTTCACAGATGACATGACCATTCTATCGCATACACACCAACAAATACAGACGAAGACAACTAATGTAGCAGCATCCGCTGTTTCAGTAAACCTCAACATACACAAGGGAAAAACCAAGATCCTCGAATACAACATGGCGAACACCAACCCAATCACACTTGATGGAGAAACTCTGAAAGATGTGGAATCTTTCACGTACCTGGTTATCATCATCGATGTACAAGGAGAATTGGATGCAGATGTGAAGGCGAGGATTGGCAAAGCAAGGACAGCATTACTACAGTTGAAGAAGAAATGGAACTCAAAACAACTGTCAATCAATATCAAAGTCACAGTCCTCAATACGAACGTCAAGGTAACCCTACTGTATGGAGCTGAAATGTAGAGAACTACTACAGCTGTCATCAAGAAGGTACTAGTATTTATAAACAGTTGTCTACGCAAGATACTCAATATCCGTTGACCGGACACCATGATTGACAGCCTACTTTGGGAGAGAGCAGACCAGCTTCCAAGTGAAGAAGAAATTAGGAAAAGACGTTGGAGGTGGATAAGACATACATTGAGGAAATCACTAAACTGCATCACGAGGCAAGCCCTAACTTGGAATCGTGAAGGGAAATGGAAATGTGGAAGGCCGAAAAACACACTATGTCGGGAAATGGGAGCGAATATGGAAAGTATGAGTAGCAACTGAAAGGAACTGGCAAGGATTGTCCAGCACAGAGTTAGACGGAGAATGGTGATGAACGGCCTATGCTGCTCGACGAGAGGTAACAGGCGTAAGTACGTAAGTAATTTCCAATTATTATCCCATTTAATTCAGTGCCTATGACGGAAGCTAATTTGAAACTACATTACAACTAAGTAGTGATTAGGGTGTTCGACTTCTAGCCACTAAGTCCTAGCCTTGAACCTTAATTTAGTTCAGTTTGGACAAACATGTACCATCATTAGCTCTAACAATAAGGATGTGACTCTAATCCAAATACAGGGATGTGTCCCTGGTAAATGAGTTCAGTTGATGAGACCAATTCGTTCAACAATTAAATTGAAGAGCCACATGTGTAGATAACGTATCGAATGTATAAAATTTTCCGAAACAAATATCTTTTATAACTTCCCCTTTATAAAAACAAGTCTCGAAAAACTAATAAAACCTAAACTAAAGGAAGGCGTTGCCAAAAAATAGGATGGGAAAGCGTATTTTTTGCGTTCACAGCGTCATAAGTAACATCATCGCTATGGGAAATCAAAGATTATGTAAATCATTATATATATATATATATATATATATATATATATATATATATATATATATATATATATATATATATATATATGCTGTTTATTACTGTAGTAAACAAAATATTATGTCAGGATACCATTGGAGCTACCATGACAACAGCATGTAAACACAACATAAGCATCACTTGTTCAAACAAAAAACACTCAAAAACCTTTAGGAACCATGTTCAAGTTATAGTTATTGAAACGTTTTTATGTAACAAGTACATAACCGAAAGAGAGGTTATTTAGCCGGAGATAATGCTGAACCATCAGTTAAATCAATCATGTCAAACAGTTTAAATATTTTTCCTCTTCACCCAGTATCGTTATACATCCTTCGAAAGTTAATATTTGTTTGATTCGACAGATTGATTTAGTGTGACATTTAAATAGTTGAAGAAACATAGCCTTTTGAACACCTTAAGCAACAAGAGAAATTCTGTGTTATATCTAGAGCTTTGCTTCTCACTATGCCACGAACTACTAGACTACTTGAACGATCGAACTCGCAACGTCGCACGAGAGAAAACAGAAGACTAGTAAGTAGGAAGTTTATTCCCCAAATCAGTGTCAAAATATAGTACAGAAATCTCATGTATTTATAGTTATTGGCTGAATGTAAATCATCATTTCGGTCAACCAATAGGCACATAGGGGTCATTCTTATCCATTCAATGGGGAAGCTACACGTCGACATTCTAAAATATTCCCCTAGCAGTGATTGGATGGAATGACTTCGGCTCTTTCTGGCCTTCTTGAGGCTTCCTATAGTTCACCAACGAGCCGTCCTTACACTCATGATGAGTTATTTATTTCCCTAAGGTTGCCCTTGGTCGATGAGCGATTTGACGGTGAGAAGTAACATAGTTGCTCAGGCTGATTAGCTAACTTATCTCTGGAGTTTTATTCTTAACATTTGATTAAAAATAAAAAAGGTCATTTAGCCCTAGTTCAGAAGAGATATCTTTTTGTTTACAAAAGTATGCACATTAGTTGGTTGAAATGACGATACTCGTTTAGATTCAATTGTAAGTTACATAATTTATGTAAGCGCTAGATGATACCACTTGACCGTCCAGACTAAATTAGATGGACAGAAGTCTGAGCGTGGGGATTAGACGAAGATAACGTTTACTGTTTTAACCATTCAGTCATCATAGCACTTGAAAATGGTGGAAAATGCATAGTAGAGGGAGAAAACAAGACACAAGATGAAAAAGGTTATATTCATTTACCTGGCATTGTGTCACAGCTAGATAAGTCAGTTGACTTAGTCTTAATTGCAGTCTTTGATACTACTCTTACTCCCAACACGTCTTCTTCCATATAAATACCGGACTCATTATCATCCGAACGAGTTTTCATTGGTGTAAATGCATCATCATCATCATCATCATCAATTGGAGGTGAAGATTTATGAGTTAACAACTCCATTGATGTATATTTTGCTTTTGGAGTATTGGTTGTATATATTCCATTATTAGTATTACCATTAATTGATTGAGATGAATTCAATGGTTTTGTCTTATTATTATTATTACTATTATTATTATGTGGTAAGAAGATGTCTTCGAAGATAATAGGTAGATTAGTAACATCACCGTCTAACTCACGACAGGTAACTGGTAAGGTTGGGAGGTTTTGAAAATAAACTGATTGGCGAACATCATTAGCAAGTGATTCATGTCCTATAACACTGAAATATGGGAATTTCTTAGAAAAATCTTTAAGCACCAAAATAACATGAAGCTTGTATGAAAATAATGTAAAATCAAACAACGTCACCACCTGACATCTTTAACTATTTGGTTCCGATTTTTGTGTACACTCGATAAAGGTACCATATTATAATTGAACTAATATTTGTAGACAGGGCAGCTACCTAATGGAATTTATTTTTTCTGACGAAATAACACCATTATTATTCAAAATCAACGATTGTAAAATATGGTACAATATTTCATATTGAATTGAGCATAAGATTTTTTGATATTTTTCATACTTAGAGTAATATCTTCCATAGCTATGAAGTCCAAAATCAATGAATTACAATCTACTTGATTTTCAACAGTTATTCTCGTTATTATCGCTTTATGTTAGAAACTGCTCACAACTTTGTGAATAATTATACAAGTCGAATAAATTAACTAACTGACTTTAGCTAGACAATATCTGAAAACCAGGAAGCACTAGATAGCTGTTTCGCCCAAGTATGAGAAATTTGCTTATTTAAACACAAAAATATTGGTACAAAGAGGCACCAAATATATATGCACCACACAAATTATTTCATACTGCCTAAGCGATCAAACCGGAGCAGGTGGTTTTCTTAAGGGGCCACACCCCGATCCTTTGATCTAGACTTGTAATCCACAAGAAAGTGAAGCAACGTCAGGAGATGCAGTCCCATAGTAACCGGTGACTAACAAACGGTTCATACTCTATTTGCTCTCTCAGGATTCTGGAGCCCATATGCACCATTGGTTTGGAATCAGGGTTTTCCAACTTCCCTAGGTGGATCCTCCATGTTCAGTCACCCGGTTAAAGAGTCCGACATTCGGTTTCCCTCCTCCAGATTTTGTATGACACATATCATTAGTGTGTGTTAGCACGTCTTTGTGATCACTAGTTTAGCTTGTTTGTTTAACATAAGATTATTTGAAATGTATTAAGCTAATACACTAGCAACACTTTACATTTCAATTTAATCCTATCACTGCTACAAATTAGTCAGCAATGCAAATGATAGGAAGGACAAGAAGTAAGTCTGATAATAAGGTCACAATCTCATTGGTTAGTAGAGAGAAGTTTGAAAAACTATATGCTACAATTACTTTTATGAGGGTACCATATTTTTAAAGGAGAGAATGGCTTTTTTCGACGGTCGGTTGTTTCGTAGTTTGATCTCTTATTCGTTTAGAAATCTTAAGTCAATAATTCAATCTTTTCGAGTACCGGTCACTCAGTCACATTTTTTATACCAATACAGGTGACCAATTGCATACTGACAAGTAAAGTATTTTCTATTCTGACATTTAGTTCATATCAATATTAGTTAAATAAATTAAAGTCATGTGAATAAATCAAAATTCCAATTGAACCTGTTCTAAATGCACTCTAACAAGCGAAATATAATCACAACGTTGTTATCATAAGGTAATGAAGTCATCTAGCTGTCCTAATGGGGATGCCACAACTTGAAGCGAAATGCACATGTATGTGAATGGAGTTTATTTAAAACAAGACTGTATAATAGTGAATTATTTTGTAGATACATATTAATCTATTCATCTTTGAAATACACGATTCAAATGAGGGTTTACGGTACTAGCATATCGTCCACACCTAAACAACTACATAAGAGTAAGATTTTGTGACTTAATGACTACGGGCTGGTTGTTGGTAACTATTGATTTACGGCTCCACTAAGACTATACAAATTGAGAAAAAAAGTGATGTATGCTACATAAAGTAAAATCAGCTTTATAAAGACAAAAAATTATCTGTTACCTTGAATCATAAATAGCTAGTAAATTGACAAGTGATAATTCTTGACAGAAAAATGCCTCAGCCAATCGTTTCATCTAAATTATTTTTCAAAAATGAAAAAAAAAACGAAAGAGACGTAACACAAGGCATGAAATTTAATGACATCATTGAAATTCCTATTGCAGAAGATCTACATTTAAGATGAATTGTATTCTTAAGAAAGTACCTGATAACTAAATGGGATGTTTTTTGCTCTAACCAATCAGTTATGTAAGTTAGTTAAGATAAACCAAGCGAGCACTTAACTATACTGTAGTTTTTAATTTACGAAAACTAATTCGAATGACAAGCAGAGATTGACATTTCAAAAAACGAGTTATCACGTGGATGCGCACTGCTGAGGAGTCCCATAATAGGACGAAACGGCCGTCCAGTGTTTCCAGGTTTTCCATGGTGGTCTAGCTTCAATTGACTCATGCTTTTTACTATGAGAAGTATTATTGTTTTAGGGACAAGATTAAAACAACTGCGACTGATTTCCAATTAGCCAATCAGTAAACAGTCTTCAAAATTGGATAGTATTGCAAAGTGTGGACTGATTTTATGTAATTAATACATTTGTTGATATATGTGACAGGTTAATCTGCCTGTAAATCGAAAAAAAACATATAAACTCGTACTTATGGTTAGAAAGTGTTCATCTTCTCAAAGCCTTATAAGAACTCAAACAGATTTGTAAGTTCACAATGTTCCTAGTCAGTGTTAGGTATTTAGGGTGGAGGTTGGAAGTTTAGGGTTGAGGTGTTAATCACGAACTGAAATCCAGCTATAATGTGAAATTGCTCCTTAGCCGTATGAATAAATAAATTCTACTCGAAAATACAAGGCACGGTATCTGATTAGTTCATTCACCAGGCTAAGGTTTATTTCAAGATTAAGGGTCTAGGGTTAGTATTTGGGAATAGGGTCGATTTGACTGCCACATACAACTTAAAATGTAAGAATTAATGATTCCATACGTTCGACACTATCTGTTTTTACGTTTTAAAGTGTACACTACACTGTTTCTAACTTATTGTTATCGTCGACCACATCAAGTAGAATGAAATGGATTATCCAGTAAGTGTTAGGTAGTGAAGAGCACAACAAATTCAGTGACAAAAATTAACATGACTTACACGAATTTGATGAAACCTTCGACGTAAAAAAGCAGATAGTTTAGATTGTAAGGTGACAGATTTACATAGTTGTTTAAATAGAACAGTATTTTGAGATGAGAGACGAGCAACATCAAATGAAATTTGATTCGCTAAATCATCATCGGTTTCTAAGCTCTGTAAAAACAGAAGAATAATAACTTGACTTCAGGAGAAAATTTGTGAAAGTGGAGTGAGAAATATCAATGAGTTGAAACTTTTAGTTTAAGCTGCTATATGTGTAGTAGAATTTATTAGTATACACCATCGACAGTAAAACGGAACTTAGAATTTTCTAGTAAATCCTCACTTAAGTTCTACGGTTACAAATTGGAATACAACATACTTGGTAATATTTTGAAGACATTCATCATGACGAACTGATATCTGTTAGTGAACTATTGAAAACAAGGGTCACTCAGAAGCCATCTATTAATATCACGAGACGCGTGACCAGTTCAAAACAATAACTGACATTGATTCGAAATAAGAACACGGGTTTGGGAATCAGCAGTTTATCATCATTCAGACACAGATTCAGGAGTCTACTGTCGAAATTTCTATCTTCAGTCAAATTGTCGTACAAAGTAACTCTCGTTCAATGGCGACTTAATGTCTTGCTGTTACGTGGTTGGAATTGGCCGACAGGAAAACCTGTATTCCGATTTCAAGACAGCTGGCAATCTCTGGCAAAGAGTACCTTCAACTTTCAGTGAACTGATCGTGAAAATTCTATGAGAACTAGCGAACAAGAAAAGTATGACACTGTCCATCATCCAGTGATAAATTGTGTTTATAGGTACTATTACTAAGATTTGACTTGATAATTACAAATAAATTGAGCATTGGGTAAATTGTTATAAATAAAAATAATCTATTTATAATATTCCAATGAGTAGAAAAATTAAATTTTCTGACGTTTCGTGAGTCAGTGTAGGCCACTTCTAACAATTTGGTTATGTATTCCCTAAACAAGTGGCTTACACTGAACCACAAGACGTCAGGAAATTTAACTTTTCTACTCATTGGGATATTACAAATATATTATTTTTATTGATAATCATGTATATGTTCAAACAACCTTGTTGAACTGGAGCGACAGCCAACATAATGTGTAAAATCGCGTGGTTTTAAAGCAGATGACAAGGACTTGCAACTTTTCATTACAGTTTATAAAAAAATAGATAATTTAAAAACAGAATTTTATCGTAAATTGATACCAAGGGACAAATGGTGTTTTCTTTGTTCTAGCTATCATTTGGATTTGTCAGCAACATATATTCTTGGACTTATATCTAGGACAAGATTAAAACACATTACTACGATTGGAGCACTGCGACGTTAGACTTGAATATTAATATGTTCACAGTCACCTAGTAAGGACAGTCAACGGTAAATTTTTTAAAGGATTAACCAACGACAACTACATTACTGAAACTCACTTGAGCTATTTGTACAAGTGAATCCAATTTACTTTGAAAGTCAACAGGTTCTGTAATTTCAGAGAAAAATTAAGTTATTCACTAGACAAACACAATAAATAAAGACTTAAAATGTCAGCCAGTCAGTCACTTATGATCAACGTAGAGCCTGACACAAGTATATGCTGGTCCATACTGTTATGTCACATTAAGACGACGATATGAATTTTTTTAAAAAGTATTGAAAAGAAAGGATTCAAAATAGTTAGACATCAATAACGTCGGAAGCAGCTGAAAATTGAAAATATATTTCGAAAACACAAAAATGAGACGGTATGTATACAGGAATACTGGATCTCAAGATCAAGAAGAAGATGAAGAGTGGGAGAATCTGGGCCATGATGACTGAGTATCGAGCAGACCTTAACCAGGTAATAGGTACCTATATAAGCTGCCGAGACCGACAGTCAATAATCTCATGGATTGACACCACGTTTTCATTTGGGGGTTACGTTATAATAACTGCTTTTATTTGACTTAAAACTTTTCATTATCAAGTTGCCACACTGCATATCACCACATCAGGAGAAAATTAACAAGATGAAAAGTGAGCAGTGAGAACCTACCGATGAAATACCGTTTAAAAGGAGCAAATGTGATACAAGTTCAGTGAATGAAAGAAAATCAATCTTATTGCGTAAGAAAGAGTAATAATAAGTTTTCTCTCACATACAACTGAAAATGGTATTCGAAATCTTATTTATTCGTTTAGTACTGATTTCTAGATGCTTACAATGAAATCAAGCTCTATTAACCTTTGATTAATGGTCTGTTCATACATAAAAGCTATATTAAACTGAAGGATATATATATCGCCAAGACTAACAGCCATCGGTTTTCAGTACTTTATTTGTTTTATTCTCATGCAATTATGTTATGATTACTTACCAGAATAGATAACAACAGTAGAAAAGTATATACCACAAATGTCAATTGACTGTTGTGTGCATATAAATAATTAATTAGAAGCATTAAGCTAGTTCCAAAGTTCAACAACCACACTGTATTCACAAACATTTCGTACATCAATAAATGTATATGGTATAAATGTTCCTAGCTAATAATTACAACCCGTTAATACACTGTATTCAGACTGAAATATTTAATATTTCATTCGAGATAGTATTGAAATACAAAGCAATTAATGAATTGGGCAATTTTATTTAGTCAATATTAAAGCTTATAAACTTCCCCTAATTAAGTATACAGTGTAGTTTAACAGACTCTTATTTAAAACCCAAGTTATTGAGAGAAGCGATGGTAACTGATGATTGGAAATATACTATTTCAGACGGATTTTTCACGGTATAAAAATTATGATCAGAAATATTTGACTTTATTGATATCAGTAATTTAAAACACATGACCCGCGAACAGATATAGTGTTATTATTGAAATGTTTGTATTAGGTTTTTCAAAACAATAAAAACTTAGTTGTGTGAACTAAAATTCAAACTCTAGGAAAACGAGATATATCCATTACTTTTCTATATTTTGTCCCAAATATGTTACATCTGAATGAAAAAGGTTTTGAATTATCCCGTTGTTGATATTCAGGACTAAAGTTCAGTTAGTCTTTACGGCATATGGTCATACTGTGATGATTGTTTATATTATAGCCATATTGTCGTCAAGTTTCCTGGAATAGGTAGATTTTGGCTAGCAGTGAGGACTTGTCAGACAGATATGCCGAGATCGCAGTGTTGCTGCATACAATGGGACTCCAATCTGACATAGTTCGCTTCAAACGAACATTTGTAATCTATTGAGATGCTGCATCTAGATATTCGCCAACATTTCCAACTAACAAGACGTTTATATTATTATTAAGAAAAAAAATGATTATGTCGAGGCAGTCTGCCCGGGAAGCATGTATGCTAGAAGAGACTGGTCAGTTGTAGTCCTGAATAAAAAACCCGGAAGTTACAAACTCTTACTAACACTTTCATATTCAGTGAACACGTTAGTGACTATCTGGACTCAGGAGTTCAGTGTATATACAAGTCATTGTTAGAAGCGAAAGATATTGCGTTCGATTCCCACTACGGACAATACTGGGGATGTAAGTATATCTGACTAATGGGCCTCAACTAGGAGGAAATGTGAGTTACGGATTACATTTCTAGACATAATCCATTCATTTGAACTGAAGCATTACAAATTATTTCTCATATTTATAGAATTTTCTTTCTTTGAATTGTTTTTTTTCGTATCCCCTTTACTTCGTTTTCTCATTCACAATTTTTTCCCAAAACAATAATAATAATAATAATAATAATAATAATCATAATAATTCAACTAGCGTATCATATTAATTTTATACACTAAAATTAAATCTTTTCTTTATTTATACTACAAACGTTAAATAATCTATGTTATTACTAGTTACATTTTATTACTTCAGTATTAAAATCATTATAAGTCACGTTTTTATGATTATGCTAAAAACGCTTAAATGTAGTTAAAAAAAGAAAATGCATTTTCGTCCTAAATAATTCATATCATTCTTTTGTTGAATTCAAATCAGTTTATGAAAGACATTTAATCAGAAATTTGGAAATAACTTTGATCACAATTAATTGATCACTGGGTGGTGATCAATGTCACGCGTGTCAAGTCCTTCTTAGTGCTGATCGAATACTATCGATCAAGTTGCAATGTGGCCACTAGTCTAGGTGGCTCGACACTGCATGCACTTTGTTGAGATAAGATGGTGGTTGGAGGTGGTGAACAGGAAACTCTGGACCCGGGTTTCGTGCTACTTGACACTCGTCAGCAAGGTGTACCGGAAATAACCTTGAATTTATACATTATAATCATACGTTCAATATTCTGTATGAAGTACAAGAATGAGTTTAGATATAATAAAAAATTTAGTTTAATGTAAATTATTGAAAAAAATTCAAATGGATATTATACAGCATAAACTATGTCGAACTCATTATTGGAGACAGTTAATGATGAAAAGTTCAATAAATAACATATAAGGCTTTTATTTTACTTTCCACCTCTAAAGGTCAAGTACTCAGTCATAAACAACATAGAACCTGGTACATATGAATAACAATTCAATTTGACATATTCTATCAGCATTACTAGGTAAAGTTATTCAGACAAATACTTCAGTAGTATAATTAGTAACAGTATCAGTAGAAAAGATTGAAGATAAACGATATGATTTGAGAAGGATGAATTCGAAGGATAAGAAAAATATGGCATAATTTTAACACTTGAAATATAAGGCAAGGGAAAGAGAGTGGACGGATATGTGCCATTGCGGCTGATTCAGAGCCTTATTACTCAACGCCTCCAACCATGGGTTACTATATTTACGAGGACACACAACCTAGTAGTCTGAACCTACAAATACGGCTCAGATCAATAGTTAGTAACTTCACGCGCTAATACTATTAATGATACTCTAATCGTCTCTGTTGTTATTATGGTCAGTCATTAACTAGTATTATATAAACTATTAAAATTCTTTATTTAAAATATACGGAAAAAAGTAACTGATAGCTAATAATGAAAATCCAAAAGAAACTCACCAATACGTGGTTTCACATTTGAAGGTAAATACGGAAGACTTTCACGCCAAAATAATAACATAGATTCTCTTGCCGCTAATAATATTTGACAGAGATGTCGATGAATAGCGAGTGCAAAATGATATCTGTTAGGCTAGAATAAATTTTAAAAATGTTAATGAGGCAATACATTAGATGAAATTATGAACACATTAAACTTTGATAATTAAAAACAAACATCAATTATAAGAATTGAGGGTTATTCATTACCAGAGTTTGATTTAATAATTTCAAATAGATTGAGCACGGGGTAGATTGTTAATTATAAAATAAAAACATATTTGTGGTATTTCATTGAAAAACAATCACAACTTTTGACGTTACGCAAATTAATTTAAGTTGCTTCTACAAAGAGTTAAAAAAACAGCTTAATTAAATTATTTATTTATTTAAACATTAGCACAAGAAAACACTAAATATATATGCACCACAAAAATCATTTTATTTGTGTGAGAGCTGAGATACTGCCCGTGCAACCAAACCGAAGCAGGTGGTTTTCTTAAGGGGCCACACCCCGATCCTTTGATCTAGACTTGTAATCCACAAGAAAGTGAAGCAACGTCAGGAGATGCAGTCCCATAGTAACCGGTGACTAACAAACGGTTCATACTCTATTTGCTCTCTCGGGATTCTAGATCTCATATGCACCATTGGTTTGGAATCAGGGTTTTCCAACTTCCCTAGGTGGATCCTCCATGTTCAGTCACCCGGTTAAAGAGTCGGACATTTGCTTTTCATTCTTTCATTTGCGTAAACAACACCTCCGCGAGGAGGCAAGAAGTCGGACGTTTAAATAGCACTGAGGAATAACGCCTTGCATTCTGTCAGTATTGTAATTCAAGAAAAAACTATCTGGCTTGTTGGTTTACAGCTAGATTATTTGATTTTCAAGTAACTGGGGTTAATTTGCAATGAATATCTCAATAGTGTAATGTTTGCGATTATGAAATCGGCCTGGAATATAGCGTTATTGATTAAATTTACACATGAATTGACGTAGATTGAAATAAAATTAATGTATAACATCTAGTAATGCATCTCTTCTAACGGATAGTTTATAATACTTCAATTCATGATGGAATGGGGATTTTCATTTGAACACTACATAAGCAAAAGAATAAAAGTGATTATGTACGACGACGGTGTTTAACAGTTGGACAGAACATAAGTATTTTTGAGATACTTTTTTTGCAGAAATTGTTAGCATGTAAAACATTTTCCAATAATAATAATAATAACAAACCACATGTTCTCGAAGTCAGATACGCTTATCGTCATTAGTCGCAGTGGTCATTCAACGGTAAAAGATGTCATGTTAGTCAATTCTCAAAATTAATTATTGACATTCAATATTATTAAGGAATTTATTTCTAGTTTTTAAATCCTATCCTTCAATGTTTAGTCTCTCTTACCAATATTTTTACTCAACTTGTTCATTTAATCGTGTTGTACTGATATAGTATGACAACTGAGACTGATGCACATTTGTAATATGTTGTACATTGATTATGACTAAGTGATGATTATTGTGAAAATAACGTTATAAGAGACGGTATTCTATATCAATCATAGATATTATTTTGACCGTAGTCAAGGTTGTAGAGCTGGAGTATTGTAAAGGGGATTATTACCGAAAAAGATAGGGGGTGTGTGTGACGTAAGACGTGAAGCAGTACACGTTTTAACATGATGTTGTGTTAAGAGAGTCGCAGTTTTCGAAAGATCGCTTAAATTCAAAGATAAACCTTGTCAATGTGCACTGAAAATCATAACACAGAAGTCCTATACTTTTAGCTGATTGTTGAGAATACAATACAAGACAAGATCAAAACCCTTTTCGAAATTCGATATTTATAGCAAACCAGTGAGTCTTCAAAATACAGACCGAAAAATTCCATATCACACTGAAAATCACTAGTCATAAAAACATGAAGGAGTGTAAACAGAGAATGACAGTCTTTTCAAAGGTTATGTAATCACGTAAGAAAACAAGAAAATAACTTAATATGGAAAATCCAGTGATTCATACTACAATTAAATCCAACATGATCAGTGGTACAGTTCAAATTATGACAAGATTTTTAGTGTAATTTAAGACTAATCAAGCTACAAATTCAAGATAAAAGGATATAATAGCACGTCCTTGATTGTAATTTCTAGTCAATATGTATTTCTTGTATACTTCTCATTTCTCTTGTATGTGCATCTTAAAGAGTAAGGAATGCTACTGAAGTTGCTGTATTTGTTAACACAGGCAAACTAGACAGATAAATTCCCAAATACTGTTCACGTTTAAGGATATATGCACACCTTGAGTCCTATGGTTGTAAATAACTATTCGGCCCCAAATGCCCTGGTACGGCTGAGAGTGGGGAGAGTCCGCTTTCCCTCTCGAAATGCTCTCACATGGCCACGCGAATATATAGCCTCTGTCAGGGAAGTCCTACTCATTGCCTTCTCGTGGCAGGGGTGTTGTTTACGAAATCGAGTGGACGAAAAGCGAATGTCCGGCGCTTTAACCGGGTTAGTGGACATGGAAAGTCCACCTAGGGGAGTTGGAAAATCCTGATTCCAAACCAATGGTGCACATAGGCTCCAGTATCCTGAAGGAACAAGTGGCGTATGAACCAATCGTTGGTCATCGGTCATGGGACTGCATCTCCTCACGATGCTTCACCGCCTTGTGGATCAGACCTTGAAGTCAAAGGCTCGGGGTGTGGCCCCCTAAGAAAACCACCTGCTTCAGTCTGGGCACCTGGGCAGTATCACAGCCCTCATACAAATCAAATGAGATTTGTGTGGCGCATATTTATCTGGTGCTTCCTTGTACCAATATTTATGTGTTGAAATAATAATAATAATAATAATAAATAACTATTCACAGGTTCAAACGCAATCCTCATGCCACTTATTTCAATTATGAACAAATCGAGCAGTAATACAACCGCTTAAATAACCAAGATATAACTAAAAGCTCAGTAAATGAACTTGGATTTTGATAAATTGAAATATTTGTTTAATGGTCAAAATAAATTATAAACAATGCTAAGAATTTTAATTGTTTTGTTTGAATGCTACCAAGAGAGTAATATTAAACAGTTGATTAATATACTTTTCGGTAAACACAAGACATATGAGAGGTCATTACTAGATATATATGCAGATATATTAACATATTCAATCAGAATACATTTATGTATACATGATAGATATCTTATGTTTGTTTTTTAATGTTTTATCAACATGTCAGTTAATTAAAGTCATTACAAAAAGAATTTGAAATTAAGTTATAAGTTATTTCTAGAGAATTAATATTAAGATTATTGCCTTTAAACATGGATAGTATGGAAATACGAATCGTATTAACAATGGCGATGATAATAATAACATAGATAAAAGATGTAAACACCGAAACTAATAATTGACCTACAATATAACCAAAATTATTGTTTTCCAATTCGTTGCATCTTAATTAAAACAAATCATTTTAATTAAGACAGAGATTATAACGAAAGAGTAATGTGCATGGTGGGTACAGTTGATATTCAGTTTGTCGAAGTTTAGAACAAATCGATTAGTTGTTTATTAGTTGATTCGTAAGATATGGTTTGATTAATGTGAAAAGTAAGTTACTGATAACATCTTATAATTATTTAGTTCATTTACCAGATACAGATTTGTGTATTTAGCTTTGAAACAACAATCGTATTGTTATGCCTGGTGATACTACTTCGTTGCCGTAAATGAATCAGGTAGAGCTAGGGTTCGGATCTGTGACTTCGTCGCTGAAAGTTCAACGGCTTAAACACTAAGTCAAATCTTCATCACAGAAGTGACATGATATAGAATAACTAAGTATGTATATATAAAAAACTATATTCGACCTAAATCTCATTTACATATCATTTTACATTTGACAACGAACAAGTTAGGGGTACTCGTAACGTCTGATCAAATTAATTCAGATAGTCTTGGGAAAAAAGCTGATTTTAATTTTTATGTTAAGCAGAAAAAAAACTAAACCACATGCGTTGATCTTTGATGTGAAAATATTGATAGTTTTGGAAAAAGTTTATTTTACGTCCACCAACTTATGTTAACAAAGACACTTGGACAGTGTCACAAAATATTACAAAGTGATTATGATAATCAGAATTTCTATTAGGAAGGTATCCATACTATGGAGAGAAGTAACTGATTAGTTCATGGAAAAATGAAGCATTTTGTTCAATTAAAAGTATGCTAGAAAATGCAATGAAATTAAAGAGGTCACTTCATCATATTGTTTAATGACTGAAACTATATTATAATGTAGAGATTAAAAAATAAAAATAATTGTTCAATTTGTAAAATTAGATTTTAACCACATGTAGATGATGATTTAAAATAGTTTATGAACTTTTTACAAGGTTTACATCAGTAAAAGAAGACAACTTTTAACATAGATAATAGTGTAGTGTACGCTACTTATGTTGACAGACATATGTAGTATGTAATACCATGGCAGCAGAAGGCTATGAGGGTCAACTTGAGGAACACAGTAAAGGAAGTAGAAAGTAGTTGTGACTTGGAAAAGTCATACACAATGTGAAGGACAAATGAGGGAAATTTTCAAATGAAGTATGGTTCTCATGTTTTACCAAGAGATTCTATAATTTTGTGTTTGAATACAGTTGATTGCCCCCACCTATGCTCTCGTTCACAATGATAGTTCATTTCAGAGTGAATTAGTATAGCCTTGATCTTGTTAACAAATCATATGCGCTTTCATGAATTATTTATAATAGTTTTTTATGATATTTCTGAACAAAGATCCTGAAAAGTTGTTGAAACAATATTTTAAGATAATGGTTTCTAGACGGTGTAGACGGAATATCTGACGTTTACAGCCAATTTGTAAAATACGAAAATGATTGCTACTCAATGCATCAATTATAACATAAATAAAATAAATATATAAATGTTCTTAACAAGTATATGTGTGATCAGATTGTTCGAAATGTATTGCGCTAATATATCACATAGTTCTGATAATCTTCGTCTTCTTATTACATTATCGAAATTTATCAAAGGGACTAATTGCTTTAAATTATAACATGATTTAACAGGAAGTTTATTTTGAATAAAGAAAAAAAAGGAACGAATGGCTGAAAATCTATGTTTTGGATAAAATTTGCAATAGAAAAATCAAGTGTTTCGTGTTACTTTGGTAATAGCATCACGGCATGTTTACTGCAGTGTCATAAAAAGTGAAATATTCGCTTTAAATGAAGATATTCTCTACAGTTGAAGTGAAGCATCCAAACAAGAAATTGTGCCCGTAAATACTAAAGGTGATTCGTCGTAAACAGTCGAGATGCTATTATGTTTTAGGAGCCAACGGTGAAGAGAAAGTAGATAAAGTCCGCCTTCATAGTATAGAAGCTGGAGAGACGTATATTGATCTAGTTTAAATTTTCCGGTTGAAAATGGGTGATAACGCATATCTGGTCATGAAATAGCTCCCTGGTATGATATATATATATATATATACATATATAAGATTAACATTTGTTAGTCCACAAGGAATTTTTGGGCTGGGTCCAAGTATTCATCTTAGCTAGTATCTTGAAACATCCGATATTGTTTAAAAATAGAAGCCTGTAGCAATCTTGGTGTAATTTTCTATTAGTATTTCTAAGCGTAGTCATTTACAATAAGAATCAGTCAGTCGTAAGCAACGTAGAACCTGGAATATAAGTATATCAGTTCAAACTACGACAATAAATGATCACAGTAAGATTAAATTATTAGGATAACTATCAGAGGAATGGAATTTGTAACAGTAAATATTAGTAGAAGATTTTAAGCAAAAACAATATAAGTTGATAAGAAAAAATGAATTCATGGAATAAAAGGTATATGTGCTTTAAGATGAAAAGTGAATGTATCCACTTAATAAAGATTGATTAAAAGTCATGTTGTTCGAATAAATATTAATTGCATTTTAAGAAAAGACAGGAATAGGCTTTTTCGATATTTTTAAAATAAATAATTCTCAATGACTTCTTATTTCATTATCAAAAAAATAGCAATGAAAGAAAATTTTAACAGTTTACATAACGGCTTAGTCGTAGACAATTATTGAAAACTAAGAAGTACCAGATGGTCGTCTCGTCGTAGTAGGAAACTTTGCAATTGTTATTATCGACAATAACACCTAGGATCAGTTCGAGATGTAAGCTGAGAAAATTCAAACAATCTCCTAAAACCACCTATACTAATAATAATCATATGCTCACTAGTAATTTACTTCGATAGGTAATTTCAAAAGTTATGGTAAAAAAACGCGACTACTAGAGTTCAACCGTATTAAGCGTGAGACAGGTAGTGGAAGGTCGTCGCACAGTATCACCAATTGACTAGTTAGACACGCGAGCCACTGGATGATGGGTAAGTGAGTTAAAGGGTTAAGCATGAAACACAAAAGTCCTGGATTTGATTCTTCGGTGATGACTTGGATATAGACTATTAATAAGCTTTATACTAGAAGGAAACAGTTAACTAGTTTCCTGGTTTTGAATAGTTATTTAAGATTAGTGCATGATGCATACTATGAATGGGAAATTTCGCAAAATCTCACTTAATGTAAAAAGATAAGTGATGCTAAACTTGGAACTATGGTTAGTCAAACGATTCATCCAGTTTTGGATAAACAAAATGAATCCTGGTGTCTTTATGAAAGAAATAGTAGTGATTTTATTAAATCAGAATGATTTATAAGAATAGGAACATAAATAATTAATCAAATAATGTACACACCTGTTTAATACTGCAAATGATACCATGCCATGTTTGTTGAGCTAAACTAATTATTTGGTTATTTGTTTGTAATGGTGTATTATGTGGTGAAAATTTTGGCCAACTATGTATAAAAGAGAAAAAGACAGCTTTCTAAATTATTTGTTATAAGCAAATAGTAAACATTACTGAAATAAAATACAGTTTTGCAAATTGGCTTCATTCAATTAAAACAATTATTTACGGTTTACATATCTTTAGATAGGTAGTCATAAAAAATAAGAATCCCTGGAGTTATTTCGTCCTGGTATGAGAATCCTCAGGAACGTACACCGAGAAGCTAACCATGGAGCATATTTAGGTATCTACATATTCATGGTGACGTTTAGTAACATACAATAACTACATCTTTCCGCTTTTCCAAATATCACAGGCATAGGCTCGTAATACGCAGTATGGAAATTACAGAAGTGACTCAAATTCAGTAATTATCGTTCGATATAAGTATACAAATAAAAGATGGCTCTCATAAATTTTTATTATTTAACTCATTTTCCAGGTACAGATTCACGTAAATGGCTTTCAGCCACACTCCTAGGTATGAGGATTAGTGATAATACCTAGTCGCTAAAACCGAAGTAGGTGGGGCTGGGTTCGAACCTGTGAACGTCAAACGCCTAAACCACTAAGCTAATACCTTTATGAAAGGATTGGACAGAAAAATGGTACGAAAAATCTGGATTGATTTTATGTGTCATATACTGAAATGACTGATAAAACAGTATGATTAGTTAGTAAATGAAAAGATTAAAAGCCGGAAGTATACTTTTAATTCTGTATATTCATAATGGTTTCAAAAGCACAAGTTTAAATTTCAAAAAAACTAGGAAAGAAATATTAACAATCTCTTAAACAAGACAGGAAATTTTAAAGTATATTTTCTGAAAAATGAATTTAAGTTGTGAAATTACGTTCAAATGTTGATAGACAATCGACTTTCAAATGAATCACAAGTTAACAATTTATAGACCGGAAAACAGTGTAACAGTAAGCAAATATATGTGTTCTCGGTTCTGATTTAAGCTTTATAGATACAAAATGGTGATACTATCTGGTTGCCTATATGGAACTCGGTAGAGTGAAATACATCAACTTTTAATCTTTGACGAATACTACCTAAAAAAAAATAGACCATCACAAAGCCATTACAACTAAACTTTGGTAGTCAGCTCATTAGTGACTTCATTCAAGAGGTTCCAGTTATGACTGATGGGGTTCAGACATATTGGGAGCCAGACAGTTGTTGTCAGTGAGATTGGATGGCTGTCACACTTTTTTCAGAAATGATTGAATAGAGTAGTACCGTTGGAGGTTAACTCGGAGGTTCTAATAATTAAGCTTTTCAGGTAAAACCTGAAGTTCACAGGTTGGGTTATAAATGTGCACTGCTAAGTAGTTCCCTACTAAGATGTAAAGGCTACCCAGTGCTCCCTGGTGAGATGCAAGCTGAAACCACTCTGCGATAAATATAAACTATATAACGAACAAAAGATGAATGTTTAAGCCATTAGGCTACAGCCCCAGAATTGTCAGTGTCTAGCTTATTTAACCAGAAGATGGTAGGTTCTAACCCTGTCTTACTTTTTTGAGCAGACTGGTAGTGTTACTAACCCTGACACGAACGAAGTGACTCAAGGATGAATGTATGAACCAGTAATTTGTAGAACGTTTTACAATACATATTTATTTAAAATGGATATCGAAGAAGTACTTACCTAATAATACTTGAAGTGATATTTGTTAATGCTCCATAAAGTGCTAATTCAATAGCACATAAATGAAAATAATCGAAGAATACGGTGAAATGATAGTGAAGTCCACGAGATGGTGTTAAATGAATACGTAGTTGACGCTCACATACCTTAGTCAGAAATTCAGGAGCAAAGGGTCTAGAAGGAAAACCGAATCTTTTGTATTAATTGAAAATCAGAACAGTTCGTTAAATTATATATATATATATATATATATATATATATCATTTTTTTAATCTTTGGTAACCCTCTATATCCGAAACGTAACTGAAGAAAGCTTACGAATTCATTTCAATTCCTAGGTCTCCAAAGAGAATAAGTCTAGCATACTGCCAGAGAGATGACCATAAAACGTGCTCCAAATCTTGTGATACAGGGGTCGACACTATATCTCAATGTGGAATAACTGTGAGAATACCATATCGTCAATAGACGACTTCTAACTGTGTGGAAACAAGTCATACTAGTAAACAATGAGAAGCTGACCTCAAAAACATTATCACATGGAAAAATAAATATTGCACAATGAAAGGGTAGAGATAACTGATACGTGATTATCATTAGCTACATCTTAAAACAAAAAAGCTGATTTATTTTGAAGTACGACGAAAATCATTCAAAACAAAAACATTGTGACAATAATAATCCAAAGGTCATCATAAAAACAACACTTAGATCTACTACACGCTAACTGAAATGAATTCACTAGTGAAAAAAAATCAATATTGGTCATGTTTTCATGGAAATGATGTGCATGTAACTCGCTCGCAAATTACATGTGCCAGGTTCTACGTTGTTGATAGCTATCCTGGTTTTGAGTCACGGTGATTTTGTGAAGAGTGTTCAAATCACCGTAAATGAAGTGAGTTTCTAATATATGACGAGTCACTGACGGTGGGAAGCCGAGCGCCTCAACCATGCTTCCAAACCAATGGTGCACATAAGATCTAAGGCCGCGAGGGAGCGAATAGCGTATAAATCTAACGTTGAGTGCTGTTAGAGGTATGAGGACGGTTATCACTTTCCGGCTACCCATACCTTGGAAGGGTTCTTCCGAAAATGCATGAAAAGGAAATCGGGTTAGAGGTGGTCTTAGTGATCTGAGAGAGTGACCACAGTGCCTGAGGAACAACTATTTGAGGCCGATCACACACGACCATTTTGTGAGTAATTTTCGTGTTAGCTCCGTACTTGTTGAGACTTCATCGCCGGAGATGGATATCCGTGGGATAAGGTGAGGTGTTTATTTTCAGGGTTGATCTTTTTTAACCCTACCCTTCCTTGTGGGAAGGCAGCATTGCTGTTATGTTGGCTGTCCAAAGAAATTATCTTACTGCCGTCACACCTCTGTACAGTCAGCAGTACGACTTTGCCCTCGGACCTTGGGTTTGCTTCTTTTAGTCTTACCGCTCTTCAACCGACCTGTCTGGCATGGTAGGACCTTGAAGAACGATTGTTCAATCCAGTGTAGCTCGACTGATTTATTACGACAGGCAAGCCCGACCACCACGTCAAGGTAGCTGCAACGGTCGAGAATCTATTGTTGGTCACCCGCTATCATGGGGGCGCATCTAACCTTGCTCCATCTCCTTATGGATTAGATATTTGGGTGATAGGCTCAGAAAGTGGCTTACTATGACGAGTGTATCCCAGCCCATATATAAATTCAACAACGTGCATGGCGCATACATATACGCAAACTATAAACCATGTTCAGTTGGAATCAAATGAAATTGAGATACTATAAATGAACTAAACGAAAAATAATACAAATAAAGTACATGAATGGGTATGTATAAGTTAGCATGATGGGTATAAGCAATACAGATGAATTAACAACCAGTAAGTTAATGTGAAATAAGTTGAACTGGCTGATTGATAAGTATCGAAGCAGTCTAGCACAGTGACTGGTGTAGAAAGATTGCTGATGATGTTTTTCTGTCTTAACTGTTATCAACTGTCCAATTTAGTCTTACATTAAGTCTAAGATTTTGTGTATTGTATCCTGGCCAGATGACCGTTATGTAACAAAATACTTGGCTACGACTTCGTTATTGATCAGGCTTATAATCAGGCGAGACGGAACAGCAATTGAGAGTGTTATTTCACAGGTTGTAAGGAAAATGTGCTTAAATTTGCTTTGAAAGGTACTCAGAGATACAAAACAAGTTGAAAGACGGAAAATTTCACATGAGTAAAATAATGATGACAGCGGCAGTGAAGAGCGTAAAAAAGCGTTATCTTAATATTGTTGGGTAAAATAAGATTTATTTATTTACTCGACCAATCCCAAGAGATATTAATTTATCATCGAGTTAACCAGGGAGGAAAAAGGTAACCGAACTGTACGGTTATGGATTGTAAAAAGAGGGCTTTGGTCAAAAGAACCAACAACTCATTTTCTCCTAAGTATTTAGAAAATCGGTGTGTGCAAGTAACGCAACAATATGTGGGCAAGATGAATTATCTGCTAGGATTGACTAAAATATGAAATAAAATCCTAAAATTATTGATAGAATTATAGGGGCAAAAAGAAAAGGATAAGAAGGTGATTGGAAGTGTATCGTTTTAAAAGTATCGTGTTTAATGAGAAAACTGTGAAGCACCAGGTATAATAAATAAGCGAAAAATCTATGCCTACTTGCACCCTTTATAACGGCGGAGAGAAACTTATGTTTACGTGTATATACAAATTTAAGTTCCCCAGAGATGTATATGGATATATTTTTATTAAAAGACATGGTCGCTGATTACTTATTGAGAGGATTGGATAACATCCAATAAACAGTCTATCGATGACAATTCCTAAGCTTATAATTAATAGAAATTAACCAAAAGTCAAATTAGACAACTAAATTTGATGTGAATTTTAAATGGTTGACAGAATATTAATTTTATTAACCGTCAGAAGAACCACATTCCATAAATATTATCATTTTGTCAACTGTTTTTAGAATCTACATTTGATACCTTAATACTTGTTTTCTTTTGATCTAAAACCCACTGAACAAGCACAGAACCTTGATTTGTTATTTGTTAAAGTAGAATATATAAATTCTGACTAATGCGGCACGAAATATTTTATTTTATTTTGAAAAAACAGACAATTATTGTCTGTATATACTTATTAAAAATACAAAGATGACGTAATTACGGAAACGATTTGTGCAGTAAATCAAAGCATAGAATCGACAGCCGAATTCTAACGTATCATATAAGATCAATGTAATCACTGACATAGTCTTATAAAACAAAACTACTTTAAGACAGAAAAACTTATTAACACTAGCAACAAAAACACCGTAAATCATTTTCGGCTGATGATGAAAATCAAAGAAAAAATACTGATCAATACTTGGACTAGCAATTATTCATCGATCACTTGTTAAGTGAGAATAATCATAGTTATTTAAGTGTTTTGCTTCAGTGTTTTTTTTCTCAAAAATATGTACTGCATTACAATTGTAAGGTAAAAAGACAAAAGATATATTTGTGAAACTTTGACATGGCAACCATCAATTGGTGACAGGACAAAGTCTGGGGAATGTTCCGAACCTTAGATGAAGCTGAATCATTACTAATGGAATGACATAATTAGTCTGATGTTCGGCGGCAAGCGCTGACAGAAATCTTGTGTCTTAAAACCTTTCTACTTTTCAGTTATCACAGCCCTTGCACAAATCAAATGAGGTTTGTGTGGCGCATATGTATCTGGTGCCCCTTTGTACAAATATTTACGTGTTTAAATAAATAAATAATATAAATTTCAGTTAGTGACATATGAAAAAAAAGGATTTTAAGGCCAGTCTCCGATTTTGAATTCAACCCAGAACCTGAAATTTTACTTGAGGCTTGATACGGAAGATATCAACATTTATCAAAGTTTAAGATTTAATAAATCATATAATGAGTTAAAACCTGTTGCATGTTGCCATGATTATTACAAACTGACTCGATAACGTGATTCAAAAACCGAAGACAATGACAAAAACATACACAATAAAAGTGCGCACTATTTCTCTGGTAATTTTTCAACTAGATAACCGACAATTGAGATGATAAAGAGAGAAATATAGTTTGTGTCAGCTCCAATTGACAACACCAAAGTCAGAATTTTCAATACAAATGTCAAAACAGTTCTATTGTATGGGGACGGAAACTTGGAGAACTACGAAAGCCATCATTTAGAAGATACAAGTGTTTATTAACAGTTGTCTACGCAAAATACTTCGGATCCGTTGGTCAGACACTATCAGTAACAAACTACTGTGGGAGAGAACAAACCAGATTTCAGCTGAGGAAGGAATCAGGAAGAAGCGCTGTAAGTGGATAAAACACACATTGAGGAAAGCACCCAACTACGCCATAAGGCAAGCCCTCACATGGAATCCTCAAGACCAAAGGAGAAGAGGAAGACAAAAGAACATATTGAGCCGAGAAATGGAGACAGACGTGAGAAAAATGAACAAAAATTGTATAGAACTAGAAAGGAAGGCCCAGGACAGAGAGGGTTGAAGAATGCTGGTCGGCAGCTTATGCTCCGCTGAAACAGGCGTAAGTAAGTAAGTAAGTAATTGACGATGATATAGTGTAAAGTGAGCGGGTGTTCACGAAAAATATTGAGAAGTACTTAATAATTGGTCGATAAGTGTGAATTTAAAGGCATTCGCAGACGAAATAAATTCAAAATGAAGATTTGAAAAAAGAATTGGAAAAATATGATACAGTCGAGATTATTCATAGAAAGAAGTAATGAACTGGACAATACTTGAACTATAATAGCCTTTTCATCTCATTAATTGCAAGAAATCTGTGTTCACTATACTTTTCATCTGAACATAAAGAGTTTATTCGAGCATAAGATTTAACGAAGTATTCGTTATGTTGGGTATGAGAGATAAGTTAAAAGTTACAAGATATGATACACAACAGACAGCAAACTACAAATGGCCAACTTTTACAAAGCCAAATTATTTTACTTTGTGCTGAAACGAGAATAAATATCATTATAGATTAAAAATGTACTGAGAAAGACAACCTGGTTCTAGAGAAGTAAATATAAACTACGGATACATCAAGTCCAATGCTAGCCATATTTATAAACTACCGAGGTGTAACCACAAGAGATGCAGTAGACTGCACGATATCAAATTAAAGTCTCTCGAAATTCCGGGGTAATAAATATCCTGAGAATATTAAATTTACTGCTTGGCGTTGCTCTCGAAGACTTAAAACTATGGATGATCAATTCCTCATCGTCATTTTCTGACTTATTAATTTCATTTTGGTGAGCCTATATGGAATCAAATGTCAATCAATTCATTTCTATGTAAGGTGTGAAAATATATGCTCTGGTAGGAATTTAAGAACTATTGGAGTCAGTAATTTCAGTATAGCAAAGTAGATGATAACTGGTGAGTTGCATCTCGAGGATTTTATTTCACCTTTAATATCTAAGTCATATTTCTTATTCATTTATTTGTGATAGAAATAATCATTTTCCAGTTGACAAAAATTAAAGAAAACCATAATCCATGAGCTCTATTTGTTCTTGCTCAAAATTAACGGTAATTAGGTCATTTGAAGTACAGAGCCTATTGGAATGTTAAAAGGAATAGTTACCTTACAGGAAAGATAAGATCAGAAATATAAAAGTGTTTAAAATCCAACACATGAATTTCATTTATTAAATATGATAAATTTGACTCACTTATCAAGTGGGTCTTCGACAAACCATAGCTCAACGCATAGGAAAAGATCGTTTCTTACCAAAGACTCCTCTAAATTAATCGGATCGACCTGGACTAACACCCTCTGCTCAAACACATCACATAGTCTTGCCGACTCATCTCGATACATGATCAACAATGTCTTGCTGCATGCTTTGTCTGGTGTGTGAGCTGGAACAGAAACACTCGGTTCGATGTAACTCGCTTTTACAGCTTCTGGTACTTTGAATCGTGTACTAGCTCGTTCCCAACGGGTTGGCGGTTCAACAAATGCTGATGATTTACTATTGTTAGATCCAGTAGTCGCACTGGGATGCACACCTGTTTTTAAGTGAGTACGAACTTGGTAATAGCTATTTCAATTATTGATTATCATAGACAGCAAATAACTCACCCACGATGGTAGAGATCGATATTATGGAAATCGCGTAATTCCACAACAAACGATAAAGTGGCTTGGATTAAAGGCATCAGCACCTAAAAAGTCGGGTTTGAAATACCGTAAATGATTTACAGTGATATTACAATAAAGTAATCTTATTATATCGAATAATAAAACACAAGTCAGATTAAATATGGTGAAAATCAGCCGCAAAAAAAACTACTGATGGGAGTAGTGCAATAAAGTGAAAGCGATGGGCACCACTTTTTTACACACCTTTGTGAACTGCTAAGTTTTATCTACCCATAGAATCAGGTATCTATATTGATTTTGAAACACACAACGGCATTGGTATCATGGAACAACGTAACATGGAGCTTCCACTTAGAGTAACTAATACGACTGCGTTAAGGATTTTCGATGTTTGAATACATTCTTAACGGATCCGAAAAAAGTAATCCATTGTGTGACAGATGCTTGAGGCTCAGGCGATAGGAGAAAGACGTTAAAAGGTACCAATGGTAGGTTAGGATTGTCCGGAAGCCCCAAAAGCCGAGAGTAGCTTAATTCCAATTATCTAAAACACCTTGTGCTGCAACTGAATCGCTGAGAGGAAAGGTTGTTATGCTTCTTGAACTTTTGAAATGTTGTTCAAACAACAAATATCAACAAATTATACTGAGAATTGGAACTGTATGTTGAGATATATAATTACATACATGCATAATCGTGGGAAAAAAATCAAACTTTTCTTATCATCTTCTAAAGTGCAAACCTTGGTGTACGACTGCGACCTTAGGGCATAAAATAAAATTTTCAGTGAAGCGTCTTGAAATAACAGATGTTCCACAGGTGGAATACGGAAAATACTTCACTAAGACGTGTGGGATCAAGTACGTATATGAATATTGAGATTGATAAAATAATTTGAGCACAGAAAACCTTGGGTGCAGTTAGAGAATTATGATCCACCCATAAGTGTTTAGAATGTTTAACACCACTAAACGCAACCATAAGTACCATTTTAAAGCCCTACCGGATGAGAAAATACTAGCTCATTTATTGCGCCATTTCTTAGGTTGCTGCTAACTAACCAGAATAGTACGAACAAATCACTAGTATCTAAAACAGTAGCTATGGAACTAATGATGTATTTACAATTCTAGCTAAAAGACATGTGCAGTTTAATTGCTCACGTAAACCTTTAAATATCTGAATCCAGAGTAATGTCTTAAGAACGTAGGGTTGGTGACCTGTTTGTTTTATTTTTAGCTTCCCTTGAGTGAGCCATATAAGTGCACGGATCCAATAGTGAATTCAAGAGCTGTTCACCAGGTGAAAAGACTCATTTCCAGCAACGATTTAGGTCATTTTTGGTTTTGAATTCACTCAGCAATCCTAAGGTCGTTTCGGATATTTAGGATTGACGCTTTCGTAACGATTTTATGATTGAAATATCTCAAATCTAGTCAACACGGAAGTCAAAAGTAAAGGATATTGGAGATATACTTTAAGGATTCCCAATATACGGAGATTTTGACCTAAACCGGCTAATTATTGTAAATAGCGTGTATCTTTGAGTACCCTGTTGTGATCTGGTTCGGATGCGTGACCGAACACCCTCAGCAAGGGGGCGTCCATTAAAATTATTGAGGTCAGCGTGAATATCAGAAACTTAACAAACTATTTATTTCAGAGCTTTATTTGTCGTCACAAGTTTTCTCAGCTGTCCTTCAAACAGGGAACTTTTGAAAACCCAACTGAAAACCTGTTTTTTACTTGAGAGAAGTGTGTTAGTGATCAGGGAATGATGTGGTCATCGCTTTGCCTTCTTCTGAGACTGAAGTGTAAAATAAATTTTGTGATAGAAATGGTATTGGTTGAACAGTAAAATATCGCCCAGACTAAAATATACATGGTGCCATCTCCTGGCGGATTCCTCATGGATTGTGATTACCATCGCTCCCATTATGGAGTTTGATAACCAATTGAATTCAATTGAAATGTCTAAATAAAATGTTTTCATATCTTTTCCATGTTATATCCTATATGTTAATCCTTCCACGTATTCACCATTCGAATTCTACATTTGTCAGTAATGAAAACAATGCTGTTTCTGTCGAAAATTCCAGATACAAAAGTAACAAATCGAATTGTATTAGATGCCGTGTCTGGTGAAAAAACACATTTTTATTGGGAGGCTGTGTGGTAATATTTTCATCGGGCGAATTTCCGAAAGATTATTTATCATCCATCCCCGTCAACAGAGTCATGCTCAACAGGCCAGGACATTTTTTGTATTTCACTGCAGCAGCATGATAGCCTGTTCTACAAAAGTAATCGTAAGAGACTCTTTCAACTAGGACTAAAAGGATGCGACAATGAATCATAACAAAAGACAGTGATTTTTTCGACAACGATACATCTCAATCTAGTTCATCATTCAATGGTTTCCAAGAGGGCATCTTGAGCTGTGTTTCCGAATAAACTGAACCGTTCTGTTAAGTCTGTATGTAAGTTAGGACTAATTTTTTAGGGAGAAGAGATCAGTAACGAGAATACTTTTACAGTTTTCAGGGTCTTCCTAAAACTTTCGAAGAAATAAACCTTTCAAGGAAACCGGACTTTGAATTCACAGATATACATACATTTCGCTGTAAACTATCACGTGAAGAAATCCAGATGTTTACAGATCTAGAGAAATAAATACAAAAGAGAAATCATGGTTGGTAGGAAGGCTTGATTAGACATACAAATCAGCTGAACTTTGTATACATGTATCACTATAACAGACAAACCACGTTTTATATTGCTAGCGAATCACATTCTTTTCTCAGAATGTATAACATAAAATCCATCAACCATTTCCTTCTTCGAAATACGAAGTGGAGTTGAGTTGGAGTGGGGAGTGGTGAAATCAATCTCTGACTTGTGAAACGAGACTCGGAGAAGTGAGAAGCCAGTTGGACTGAAGTGGATGAGGTTAAAATGAGTCGAGGTACAGACATAATTGCTCCACTTTGTCATATACTGAGTAAACAATATAATGTGCTGATGTGTTATTTGATTTCCAGAGAAAGAAGAACCATCACCGGTAACAAACAACAAGTGTAGTCTTAGTTTTAGTGCATGTCTATAATGCCCCAGATGATGTAAATGTCGTGGGTGTAAACGTGCACTACTGCCGACCTAGAACCAAACCGTGTAGTCTCTACCATCCTCATACAATAACGACAATTCACCACCAAATGCTAGGTGTATCATTTGCCTATGACGTATAGATTTCTGATGTAAGGCCTCCAGTAATTACTTTCAGCTGCGAGTTACCGAAGAGCCAATACGCTGTCCAACCAGTTGGAATCAATCAATACTTCAATGAATGACACCAAAAATTCATCACATAATCACCATCACTCACTCTAGAATTCGTCCACACACACATCCATGCACCGACACACACATCTGCCAACACGAATATAACTTTTTCTACAGAATTGTGGTTATTTAGAGGACGATTAGAATCAAAATTGGAACCGCCTACTTCATTATCATTCACTCGGTCTTCTTGTTGGCTGTGAACTAAATGGTCATTTAAATCAAGAGTCTGAACCATCTGATAACTTATCTTTCGAATTACAGTCCCCGTAGATGGTTGGTAGTCACTTTGTAGGCAAAACGGAACTTCTGATGTTTTGTTCACTAAAATAGTTCAAAGTATGCGAAATTTAAAGAGTTTAATCGGACGGTCATGAGTTGTCGAGCGGTCTGCATCATGATATTCAAGCAATAAATTGTCAGTGCACTTCTCTAGCTCTTCCGGATCACCTGCATTCACTGATGTGATGGCACTCTTTGAAGCTCTGACGAAATTTTCTGTTAAATCGTTGGACTGAGAATGTCGTAGAGAAGTAAATTGATGATAACACCCAATATCAGTAAGTCAACTATTAACTTCTTTTTTTGTGTAATTGGTTCCATTAAACGATAATAATACATTGGGTATACCTTCATGACTATATATCTTCCTCATCACACTTTGAGTAAGGTGTCCGTTCCGACTACTTTTGGCCAGTACGAACGAGTCAATAATAACAAAACTATTTCATGAGTTTAGAAATGGGCCACGATAATCTGCATGAATACGCCGCCACAATTCATAAGATGTAAGCCAAGGATTGCAAGTAGGTTTATTATGCGACAGCTCATGTAAACAAGCAGATTTCAGACCTATATCATCATCAATCTTAGGCCTGAGCAGCCTGATGAGCAAATGATTTCATTTTAGCTGCTCCGTGATGGAAGGAATGGGGCTCGTCTAATACTGTGGATCTAAGTCTAGGGAGAATGATTACTCTATCGTTAAAGCACAAAATGCCTTCAGAATGAAGCAACGTATATTCTCTTTTTCCGTTAGGTGGTCTTTCAAAATAGGAATAGGGTCGAATAAGCAGCAGGTATTCGGAGTTCGACAACTCTCTAACTAGTAAAACCTTCTATTATGAATCGTACCCACCAAGTGAAATCAAAAGTCAGAAGTGAGGAGGTTCGAAGGTACATTTCATAGGTTATCAATATATGGTGGATCGACTTATCTAATCTGGCTAGCGGTTGCAGAAAATGTTGGGCAAGGCTTTTTCACTCACGATCTGTTTCGGATGCATGATCAAACCCCTTCGGCTAGGTGAGTCCATTAAAACTAATGTGGTCAGATCTAATGTTGAATACTTACAGAGTTATTTATTTTGGGGATCTATTTACCGCCACAGGGCAACAGAAAACCTTAATGTGGTATGATTTTGGACACTCAGTGCTCATTGGTGGAATCACAAACACTTAACTTTAAATTTCACCTCTGGACCATGTCAGCGGATGGAGAATGGAGTGAATTGGTTGGATGATAAACATACCTTAAAGTCTGGTGATTAGTCACAATAATAAACTTAACACCAAACAAGTACTTTTGAAACCTTTAAAGGGTCCATACCACAACTAAGGCTTTCATTTGGATCTGAGAGTGTCCTTGTTCACTATTTCGTAGTCGCCTGGAAATAAAAATAACGGAAACTCATCTTTACTCTAGTACCCCACCAAACTCAATGGAGATGCATCTGCAGCAAAGACAGATTATTCAATGGGTGAAAACACTCAGAGGAAAGCCTCACTGTTTAAAAACTGAAGAGTTTTTTGATATATTTTTATGTCTTTGTTCCCACACCAACTCTTTACCAGAACACAATTCCAGAAGTGGAGATAATATTTTTGTAACGTTGGGAACAAATCTGAAATAAGACTGAAGAACACCATTTCATGATCTGATTACTGAGACAATCGTAGGTGATAGTGCCTGAATCAGTGGAGTCAGGTGACTCACATTAGGTTTAATACCTTTGGCATATATAGCATATCTTAGGCAGTTGATAGAATTAAGTTGAAACTGACATTTTGATGGGTTTACGGCCAAATCTACCTAACAAAAGAGTCTAAGTAACTTTGAAACACGTTCAATATGCAACTTAACATTTTCAGCTTTAACTACGATATCATCATGGTACGATCCATCACCATTAAGATCAAAGACAATCCGATTTATAATCTTTCGTAATATCAGAGGGTAAACAGTTACTCCGAACGGTGGGAATGAGTATCTGAACAGCCCGAATGGTGTATTAATAGTAGTCAGTAAATTGGAAGTTCGACCCAATGGAATTTGCAGATGCTAATTTTTAAAGGAAATCTTAGAAAAATGCTTCGATCCTTGTAATTTATATGGCATATTTTCGATTCCTTTAGTGTTACAACTTAGTTGCCATAGCTGAGCATTTGATGTTAAGCTGTAATCATCACAAATTAGAGGTATTTTTCCATCCTCCTTTAATGGATTCAAAACGGGTGTAGCCCAACTGGACGACTGAAATATTAATGTTATCCTTGTTCCAACAAGTTCATCAAACTAAAACTTTACAGTCTCTCTTTAACCATATGAAACTAGCCTAAGCTTCAAGAAGATAGGCTATCCTCCTACTTCTAATTGTAGTAGGTGAATTTTCATACCTCACATAGCCTTCTAGCATTTAAAGACTAGATTCTTGAT